TCATGATGGGTTTCCTTGTGGATTCGTAGGTGGCTGTGGAGCCCTATTCTTGACCTGCATCTTCTCCCACAGTGAAGGCATTGGTTTCCAGGTGGAAGGCGGTCCCGGTCGGGGTTGGCTTGACACGCCTTCCTCCTGGCACGTTTCTCTCTTTCACCCTCCACTCGTGCCTCCTCGAATTCTGCAGCACTGCTGGTCACAGCTGACCTCCAGCTGGAGTGCTCAAGGGCCAGGGCTTCCCAGTTCTCAGTGTCTATGCCAGAGATTTTAAGGTTGTTTGAGGCCATCTTTAAATCTCTTTTCCTGTCTACCAACGTTCTGTTTGTAGAAGAACTCCTAAAATGGGCTGTCATGTGTGGATGTAAGACATCCTGAGGTAGGAGCCTTCTGGATGCGCCTTTCCTAGACAAAGGAAGGGGGAAAAGATTAACTTTGGGAAGAAGTGGAAATGACCTCTTCAGGCAGGAAGGAGGCAAAGAAGCTTGAGTACACAGATCAAGGATGGAAATGGAGAGGTGAAACAAAAGGGCAGGCCTGCTCTGGAGAATTCCCTCTTACTAATCACTTTATACAAGGGTTGATGCCTCTTTGCTGCTGACACTAGCTAGGCTGAGGATTTGAATGAGATTACAGTGGAAAAAAATGGGGCCAAAGCTAGAGAAACAGCTTTTTTTAAAATAAAAGGTTAGCTGCCAGTAAGTATAGAGAGCAGATACATTGTCCCTATATTATTTATATATATAATAGTGGGGAAAAGTTATCTGTTGCAAGAATTATGAAGGCTGAGACAGGACAATTAAAGGCGGTGGAGAACTAGATAAGAGGATTTTCCAGCAGCGATGATGTTTGGCAGGCAAGAATGATAGGAAGGCCAGGATAATAATAGCTTCTTTACCAGTTTATCTGTCATTAAGAAGCTAAACAGCTTCCACTATGGTCAGAGTTAATTTTAAATCAGCACCTTCTTGACAGAGCGGTCTATCACAATATCATTGCAATAAAACTTTGTGAAAAGCATGACCTGAATTTTTTTTTTATCATGAATTTTCTTTWAAAAGTCTTCAGGTTGATTTTTTTAAAAAACCACGAAAACTGGGAATAATCTTCAAATAAATGTGGTTGGATAATATTTTCTACTGCCATTCATTTGAATGCATTTGAGGCAGTACTGTATACTCTGCTTCGGGGGGGGGGGGGGCTGAATGGTTTAGCCTCTTTTTTTCATTCTCTGTGCTTAAGCAATACGAGAGTGCTTCAAGAAAGAATTGCTAACACTGGTTAACTTACCCATCTCGTGATCCAGTCAAAACATAGGTGTCAAACTAAGTGGTGTCAAACTGCATTAATTTTTCAGTGCATATACACCCTGAGCTACCAGGTGACACCTAGGGCAGCAGGCAGAATTCAGAAGTGCACCACAGGATGTATGGCAGACATCTACCTCTCTTGAAAGATAAGTAAATAGCCAAGAGAAGTTGGGAGGAACAGCTTTTTAATTTTTTTTTGTTGCTTTGGTACCCATCTAATACATAGAAATAAACTTAATTCATATACATCCATAAACCATTACATTTTGCCCACCCCCTTTTCCCTTCCCCCCTCCTTTACAAAGCATTTTTAAGTGCAGCCAGTCCAGGAGACTGTCCATTTTCTCCTTTATATGATCATTCGTTTTCCCTTCTTCAACCCATTTCACATATCTTAACCAGTTTTCTTTGATTCTTTGTATTTTTTTTATAATCCATGGAATATCTTGTTGTATTATTCCCGTAAGATCCAATGGTACTTGTTCATAAATGTATTCATTCCATGTGCTGTCACGCGCTGGGCTCCTATAAAAGACTATAAATTCTGTTAGCCCAACGGGACGCTGGGGTTGCCTCAGAGAGAGGTTTTTTGTGGTTTTCCTGAAAAGATGGGTCTTTATTACTGAACAAATAACAAATCTTCAATGATTAGCTTTAAAGTTTTCTTAATAAACGATTGGCTTTCTCAATCTTGCCCCGAAAGGCAGGCAACTGTTCCTTCACTGTTGGGAAAATCCCGACCTCTACCTGGGCAATCTGTCTTCTCTTCTGTTGGCGTGGGACCCTTACGCCCGGTCCAATCTGCTTTATGGTTGCCGCGAAGGGCCCTTACCGAACAGAGACTTTGCAGAACTTCCAGGAGGAGGAAGATGTTCACTTCCCAGTGAGGGCTGGCTGAAGCGCTGTGGGACTGGATCTGTATATCCCTGTTTCCCCACCGGCCAAGCTGTAAATGATGAAGCCTTTTACAGGAGGCCCTGATTTTAAGTCCTGTAAGGAAGGCTTCTCTGTGTGGAGTGACCTAAAATGGCTCCTATTCCCTCCAAAACACAAAAGGGGGCGGAATTAGGGTAACCTAATGATAATTGACAGATCATTGACCCAATAACTGCAAAGTAAGGAAAGCCATCTAACTGCAAAAGCATAGAACTTTAAAATACATGCAACAATCAACAAATGGCAAGGTAAGCTGGAGCTCCTGGTACGGCCATACCAGAACATTCCATCTGTCCATTGTCCATTTTTTAATCCTTCCATCCCATGCTATTACGGCATGGGCAGCTTTAACCATTGCCATCAAAGTTTGTTGCTCTTCTTTCTTCAGCGTTTGCAGAACCACTGTTCCAATTTCCAACAGCCCCGGCCCAATGTACAAATTTCCTTGAATAACTCATTTATTTGTTCTAATACCCTCTTCCAGAAACTCTGCAGTTCCTCACATTCCCACCACATATGTGTAAACCAATGGTTCCTAACCTTCCTAACGCTGCGACCCCTTAATACAGTTCCTCATGTCGTGGTGACCCCCAACCATAACATTTTTGTTGCTGCTTCACAGCTGTCATTTTGCTACTGTTATGAATCGTAACATAAATATCTGATATGCATGATGTATTTTCATTCACTGGACCAAATTTGGCACAAATACCTGATATGCCCAAATTTGAATACTGGTGGGTTTGGGGTGGGGTTGATTTTGTCATTTGGGAGTTGTAGTTGCTGGGATTTATAGTTCACCTGCAATCAAAGAGCATTCTGAACTCCACCAATGATGGAATTGAAACAAACTTGGCACACAGAACTCTCATGACCAACAGAAAATACTGGAAGGGTTTGGTGGGCATTGACCTCGGGTTTTGGAGTTGTAGTTCACTGATGTCCAGAGAGCACCGTGGTTCAAATAATGATAGATCTGGACCAGACTTGGAATGAATACTCAATATCCCCAAATGTAAACACTGGTGGAGTTTGGGGAAAACATACCTTGACATTTGGTAGTTGTGGTTGCTGGGATTCATAGTTCACCTATAATCAAAGAGCATTCTGAACCCCACCAATAATAGAATTGGGCCAAACTTCCCACACAAAAACCCAGTGACCAACAGAAAATACTGTATTTTCTAATGGTCTTTGGCAACCCCTCTGACACCCCCTCATGACCCTTCCAGGGGTCCCGACTCCCAGGTTGAGAAATGCTGGTGCAAACCATCCCTTCCCCTTTTTACAATGCCAACAGTTTGAGCTGGACCCTTTTATCATATATGCCATTTTTGATAAATCTTTTTTACTAATTCTTGAAACTTTTCCATTTTAATGGTGCTTACCCCCTTCGTTGTCTTTCTCCCCTTACCTCCCCCCTTTACCTCCTTTCCTTATTCCATTTTTGTAATATCATTCCAAGCATCATTCCTTTTGCTTCCACTATCATTTTCTATATTATTCCTGCTCCTTTTTACCTTCTTCCCTTTAGCTGTTGGGATGAACAGCTAAAGGTTTATCATTATATCTCTCCAGCATATTTTGCTGGAGGCTATCACTTTAATCTGCCTCTAATTATTAGGCTCACCCTGTCCTTTGTATTCTTCAACTTTCAAATTACAGTAAATGGGTTTTTTTTGTATATAATTTTTATTGTGCAAAAATTTTAATATATACAACATGAAAAACGTGAAAGATGTGAGAGACATAAATATTACAGAGGTAGTGAGTGATAGTAGAACAGTAAAACGACACAGAAAAAAAAAACAGAAAAAAACCCACCAAAAACCCACAGTCCCCAACTGTTTGGCTTGCTCCTGACACGATAAATAAATACCTTTGGGCATCTGCTTGGTATGAAGCGGCTCCTCAGTCTTTCTGCCTCCTGGTCTTCATTCCCTCCTTCGCATATTCCTGTTGCTTCAAACTCCTCGGGTGCCCAAGGTCAGCACTTTGAACTCTTTGGGAGGTCAATGTGTCTGCTATTTTTACTTATTTTTTGGATTCATTTCCCTACCATTTTCCAAAAGAATGGCACTCAAGCAAATGTAAAGAAATACAGTACAGCAAATGTGAGAAAACAGATATGAAACACAACAATGCATCAGCGGGAAAGAGTAGTAACCATACTTTTAATAGCTTCTTTGACAGCATCCACACAGCTGATATGATGAGCTACAGAATTTTAATCATTTTGTTTGTTTTATCTTTTCTGTGTTTTCACTTTATTATAAACAATGTTATAAGGGAGAATGTTCTCTAGTTCAGTGTTAAGTGTCTAAAGCTTTAAACATCCAGCTAACCGAACGCCAAGTAAGTATAATCCAGTCCCTGACTCAAATTGACAGGGACAGGTTGGTCTGCAAAATAATCTCTTTAAATAGCAGCAGCCAATACTCAAAGTCATTTCTTTGTCCCATCTTGAGTGGGAGGACAGTTTGTGGCAGCCTATCCACCAGACAAGAGCATTTCATGTAGCTCCCTGCCCGTCTTCGAAGTTTTTGGAGAGGCAAGTTTAGCCCAACGCCTGGGAATTCCAGCGTTTCACTTACCACAAAGGAGTTGCTATGAATTTTGTTGCACAATTTCTGTACTCCAGGGCTTTAAGGAACCGAACTCCCAGAGAACGTATCCGAGAAGAGGAAGAATATGATCCTTTCTGGCAAAGGTTGGAGAATGTTGCCAATGTGATGTAGACCTAGACTGTTGCCCCCCTCCCACTTAGGAATTATGGACAGCTCTAGATTTGTATCGGGGCCCAAGCCAGTAGCCATCACATCCCCTGGATCCTTCCTGCCTCCGTATGCTGTAGTAGTTGGAGTAGTGCTTCATTTCTTTGTTTATTGCATTGCCATACTTTATAGGTAATAATCATAATGCTAATCGTAATATGAATCATAGTAAGAATAATATTAGCTCTGTGTTTTCTGCTCTTTTTTCTTCCAAATTTCAAGTCAGACTGCTTATTTTCAGAATGTAAAATATCTCATCAAACAGTTAAGATTAATACATTTATTTTATTATGCTAGTATACTACAGACTGGAACAAGAATATATGCTTTCTTTCCCTTTCTGTGATTTGGATCTTTTTCTTTTAATTTACATCTATGAAGCCCTTGCAAGAAAATATCGGAAGATATTAACTGTCTCATGGACTGTTTCTAAGGTTGCCCTTGAAGTTATTGTTACAAACGTGTTACATGTATATTTTGACTGGTGATTATGGACTATGTTTAACACTAATTGCATTATAGAAGTGTCTGGGGTCATCAGTTGAGATTAAGCAGCTTTGTGGAAGGTTCAAGACACTTTCTTGTCCCCCTCCCCTTGAGTCCATAGACCTCATCTTGCAGAAGCAATGGAAACAGTATGTAGACATATGCCAAAGTGAAACTCCAATTTCCATCTTTTCAGTTGATGGAAACACTCTATGGGAGAATACTCTTGCATAAATCCTATAGATTGTGTTGCTTTTCCTATAGTAACCTGAAGCAGAATTAGCACAGGACCCATGTAATATTTCATATACTGTACATTAAGTAGCAATGCTCTTTTCTGTGGTCAAGACTGAACAGCATGTGCCCATTCATTGAGGCTCCCTGGATATTTAGAGATCATAGTTTTAGCTGGTTTTGCTTGCTATGGTCGAATATACCCACAGCCCACTCTTCCACTACCAGGAGACACAGTACAACCTACTTCAGTACTACTATTTATGATTAATAACATTATGTGTGGCTTTAAAAATTAATACAAAAATTTAAAAAGAAAAATCAGTTAGACCTAGTTTCACAAAGATGTCAGAAAATGCTTCAAAAGGTATGTCAAAATGTCAAAATAAAGCACAGCACTCTTAATGACAGTTATCCCGGTTTTTCAAAAGAGATGAAATTGGTAATTACACATCACATAGGTACTGAAAGTGACATGCGAGGTTATTCAAGGGGAAATGACTCACTAATCCCTTAGACCTGGATAGTAAGAAATAAAAATGGACTGAGCCTGCTATTAGAAAGTGTTTCATTAAGAACAGAGGTGTGCAAAGTGTAGCTCTAGAGATGTATATGGTCTTCTACACTTGTTTCCTCCAAGTAGGGCAACTGTATTAGGAAGTTGTGGTATTTTCTGTATGTTTCTTGAGATTTTATTATTTTTGTTGTTTTTAAAAATGCTATGAAGCAGCAATTAATTCTCACAAAAAGGTCTGACTTTAAGAGAGGTAACTCACTGGGTGACCTTGGTCTAGTTCCTGAACAAATCTTGCTAAGAAAACCCAGTGGTAGGTTCATCTTAGGGTCACCATAACTTGGTAATGGCTTGACAGCACAGAACAGTAACCTACCAGTAATCCTTCAGTCTGAATCAAGAGGAAGATATAAAACATGCATTGATTTTTCTTTAAAAGAATGCAGGTCCTTCCTGAATGGGACATATGGTATTTATTAGGGCTGTGTGATTGATTAAAAAAATGTTTCAAAAGTCATGACAAATTTGGGCGGCACCAGCATTTTATTTCTGAAGTATTTCTAAAGTATTGTTAGTGAAAATATAATGAGAGTAACGAAATTTCATTACTTTTTCGTTATGGTAATTGTGCAAATGGGGAAAGTTCAGGGACTCCTTCCTTCCTCATTTTTATAGCTATTGGGATGAAACTTGCTACAATCGTAGAACACATTTGCCACAGTTAGCCCATCAATGTTTCACTTATCCACTGAGTTTTGGGGAGTTCTCAATTTTTTTATAAGCAACATGCAAAACAAAAAAACCCTACAAGACCTATCTCCTTGAATTTTCTATACAATGCCACAAGATAACAGGAGGCCTTTCCACCAGGTTTCAGAAATAGTCATATATCAACTGATTTTAGGGAATTTTAAAAAGTTTTAACAAAAAAATGTTTAAGCCACAACAGCTATCTCATAAATGTCTCTCATATTAACCAATACAACTTCTTAGGGATTTCTTCCCACTCCAGAACAGAGATTTACTTACTAGAAAAATCAGTCAGTCTTCCTTTTTGCAGATTCAGCAAATAGTTGGAACTCTGGCTGGTTGCTGCTATGGAGGGACAAATCTCTTCCCTATCCTGATTAGGGCTTTCTGATGCTGAGTGGAATTCTGGGAAATGTAGTTTAGGGCAGGAGCTTTTGAATTCTCTGGCATAGGGCTCCTTGGCTTCCCAAACTAGATTTCTCAGAATTCCGTGCTTTCTCAGTCTCTTTCCCACCAAACTCTGCTTTCTCCCTGCTGCTTCCCTCTCCTAATGGTGAGAGGCCATTAATTTAAAGAAGAAAGTTGGCCTTTTTGGCTTTGCTTTGCTTCCTTGCTCTGAAAATGAAACTGACTTTGGGAGGCTTCTGAGGTTTACAAAATTAAAACAAAAAAGTATTGGGTAAGTTTAGATTCTTAAGTTTTTGGTGTTGGACACACCCGCATGTCAGATATTGTGTTGTAAATATGAATAATGAATTTGATGTGACTTACGACAACTAATGAAAAAATTGCACACCCCTAGAATTTATGAGTATACATGATGAAAGGGCATTGAATATGGAAACACATACTGTTGAATAAGGTGTGTAAAATCTCCATTTTCTGGTCATGGTTAAAAGAAAGAATTACAGCAGGCATGGGCAAACTTTGGCCCTCCAGGTGTTTTGGACTTCAACAATTCCTAACAGTTGGTAGGAATTGTGGGAGTTAAAGTCAAAAACACCTGGAAGGCTGAAGTTTGCCCATGCTTGAGTTACAGGGTTTCTGGAGCAAAGGTGCTATACTAGGTCTTCCTGAATTTTTTTTTAAAAAGATTCTACTACATTCTTTCCAGGGAAATTTTTTTTTTTAGTGTTCATGTTCTGTTCTTCTCTTTTTCCTTATCTTTATAATGTATCCGTATGACTTTTCTATATTTTTTCTCCCCAGCCATGCAAAGAAGCTATTTGTCAAAAAGTAGGTTTTAAATTCACATTGCATGTTTTACGCATTCCACTGAATTAAAATGGATTAAGATATGTCTAATCTTTTCCCCTCGCAAAGATGATAGTGTAATAATGGCAGCTTGTTTATTTCCTATCTTTGATCATAACAATGCAACTAGACACAAGCAAGGCTGGCCAGGGATAATCTTACTCGCTTGTGCTGCTTTTGTGGGGCTGAAAGAATAAAAAACTAATTTGTCTGGACATTTTGCTCTCAATGGGATTGAGAAATCATCAGAGCTGCAAATTATGTCTGTAATGAATGTAGCTCCTGTGCTGGTACAGTTGTACCAGGAGCTCCAACTTCTTTTCCTTTCTATTGAGTGTTTGCATGTATTCCAAAGTTCCATGCATTTTGCAATAAGGTGGCTTCCCTTGGTTTGCATTCATAGGGCCAATGACCCATCAATTATCATTATGTTCTTTAGTTCCACCCCTTTTTCTGGGTTAAGGAGGGAAAAGGGGGACCTCTAGTTCAGTTCACACAGAGAAGCCTTTCGTACAGGACGTGAATCCGTTCCACCTGTAGAAAGCTTCATCTTTTACCACTTTGCTGAGGGGATCCAGTCCCACAGCTCTACAGACAACTACAGTATAGTCTTTGTTGGGGAATTTAGTTCCACAACTCTACAGCTAGCTCTTTGCTGGAGAAATACAGCTCCACAGTTTTACAGCCAGCCTTCGCTGGGAATTGAAAGCCTTCTCTCCTCTTGGAAATCTACTAAAGGACTCTGTTTGGTAAGGATCACTCACGGCAGCCATAAAGCAATTTGGACCGGGTGTAGGGGCCCACGCCAGCAGAGCTTAAGACAGATTGCCCAGGGAGGCATCAAGGATTTCCCTTGTAGAAGGAAGAAACAGTTTATGAAGAAAGTTACCTGTCCCTTGTGGATAAGATTTAAGCAAGCCACCAGTTGATTCAAAGCCTTGAAGTATTTGTTTGATTTATTGAAGATTTAAGTAACAATAAAAACTTTGTTGAACTTTCTAAGTCTTTAAAAGAACTTTGTGAGGGGAAATCCGAAAGGCCTCTCAGCCAAGGCACCCCTGGTGTCCCGTTGGGTGTTCAGAAAACATGTCCTGTCTACAGACTCTTTCACAGGCCCAGCACGTGACAGCACAGCTCCCATCTTTATTTAGTCTGCTTGAATAAATTTTCATTCTACACAAAATTATGTTGGCCCTTTGGCAATTTGTTGAATTTTCTGCATTTTAGTTTGAAGTGCATCTGTGGGTGCAACTACATTATGGAATTAATACTGTCTGACATCACTTTAACTGTCATGGCTCAGTGCTATGGAATTGTGGGAGTTGTAGTTTTACAATGACTTTAGCCTTCCTTGCCAAAGAGTGGTGGTGCCTCAGCAAACTACAGATCCCAGGATTCCATAGCATTGGACCAAAACAGTTAATGTGATGTCAAACTGAATTAATTATTATACATTTCAGAGCCAGATTGGGTGGGGATGTGGTATGTCTATGTGAGTGCTGAATGCTGATTTTGCTACAATAGATTAACAAAGTTGCGTTTATGGACTCATTCTGTTTTGGAAAGTAGATAGACAATACTCATCCACATCTTTATGTCAAAGCTGACAGCAACATGAGAGAGCCAGCTAGGATCTCTAACCACTGTTGGGAAGACCAGATGGATATAGGAAAATCACCACACTGCCCTCTATTGTTGATAATGCTGATAGTGTAATGCTATAAACGTCATTATGGGAGATATCAAATCTTTGTCATGCTTTGATTAATTGTGATGGAACATGCTAACAGTGGCTTGGATATTGTTACCTGCTATCAGTTTTGCGGCTTGTCTGAATAACTACAAATCTCTCTTCCCTTCAAACATACATATATTTGGCGCTACCATAGACTTATTCAGCCTATGGTTCTTTTGTGCTACAGAGATCAGATTCCCCCAGCCAGCAGGAGCATGCTGATAGTACCTATCTAAAGTCCTTTCAAGCTCTTTCTGACTTGATTCGTCTAGCTCAGTATTTTTGTAGTTCAGATGCAAGTGGACCTCTGCCACTTGTCTGAGAGTGTTCCCATTTCCACTGTTGAGACCTCATGCCTATTTTAAATATGACTTTTGGCATTAGAATTGGAATTTTACAAAGGTAAAGTGTGCATTCTACTACAGAGATTAGCCCTGATCCCAAGGATGGCTATAGTATACAAGCTTCATGCCTCTGATAACTAGTTCATTCTTGAACAGAACCCCAATATTTGTTTCTATGGAGTTAACAGGCCTCTGATTCCCAACCTGTTTGATACACTGCAAGTACTATATTTTTTTCCCCATTAGCTTCATTTTTTTCTATCTTTCCTGGAAACTCCCTCAGGAACTACCATCAGTTCATGAACCATTGTATTAAATAGCAGTATTCTAGACCCCACTGAAATGCCTAACTCCCCAAAATGAATGATCTGTGCTGCTACATGGCTCAAATACTGTAAAATAATAATTAACTCTTAAATGTGCATTCTCTGGTGTGGTTTACTTATTGTAGCCACGGAAATCATAGTGCTGTCATATTTATTTATTTATTTATTTATTTATTTATTTATTTTAATCATTGAAGGCAATACATTAAAATAAATAAATAAATAAATAAATAAATATGACATTGGTCACATTGGTCAACAGTCACCTTCCGGTGGCGCAGTGGGTTAAACTCCTGTGCCAGCAGGAATGAAGACGACAGGTCGCAGGTTCAAATCCGGGGAGAGGCGGATGAGCTCCCTCTATCAGCTCCAGCTCCTCATACGGGGACATGAGGGAAGCCTCCCACAAGGATGATAAAAACATCAAATCATCTGGGTGTCCCCTGGGCAACGTCCTTGCAGACGGCCAATTCTCTCACACCAGAAGCGACTTGCAGTTTCTCAAGTCGCTCCTGACACGACAAAAAAAAACCCTTCTATTTATTTATTTATTTATTTATTTACAGTATTTATTTACAGTATTTATATTCTGCTCTTCTCACCCCACAGGGGACTCAGGCCGGATTGCACATATACATGGGAAACATTCAATGCCATAGAACACAACATATATAGACAGAGACACAGAGGGTATTTAACTTTCCAGTTTTCATGAGGGTATTCTGGCCACCAGAGGAGCTGTCACTTCACTGTCCATTTGTGGCACTGATGGAGTACTTCCTCATTCTTTTGCTTGCTTGCTGGAGATTTCATGGCATCGTAAATTAGTTAAATTAGCCTCTCCGCATAAGCAGTACCTAAATTTCCTACTTGATTAGATGCTACTTGACAGGCTGCAAAGGTCGACAACAAGCTACAAAATGGTTGGAAGCTCACTCCGACCCAGGTTGGATTCGAACTCATGACCTTTCAGTCAGTAGTGGTCTTAATGCAGCTGACTCCCAGTCAGCTGTGCCACAGCTGCAGGTGAAATCTAGGTACAGAGTAAATTCCCCCTCTCTTTCTCATGCTAATTTTTGGTCATAACATGACTCTAACTCTCTTTCTTTTATTTTCAGGGATGAGAGCAAAGTAAGGAAACTAGATGCTCCTCCACACTGTGAACGCCATTGCTCTAAAGATGGGCCAGTCAGAAATGGTCACATTGGTCAACAACCACCTTCTATCAACCCAGAGAGACTGAAAGATTTTGGCGAGGAAGATTCCCTAAATGGGGGAGTGAAGACATGGGAAATGAAGATAATTGGCCGTAATGAAGAATTGCTAAGGGACTCAGTCATCCGCCCAGATAGGATTAGCCAACTGGACTACAATAAATCTATTAGGTTTGAAGATATCAGCGCAGCCGCTTTCAAAATTCAGTGTGGAGTGCAGAAAACACCTTGTATGGTATGGTATTTGTTTCAGATTGAATACTGGCTGAGAAAATATTATAGTATTGTTTTGACCAGAGGCAAAAAGCTGCAGAATCTTTTAGGTCAATTCATAACTAAGAGAAGAAAAGATGTATAAGCACATCCAGACAGAGCCTAAAACACATGCCCACCAGGATTTTTGCATGGGGCATACAAATGATGCCCCACATAAAAACAAATGCATTCAGGGCAAAGCAGGAAAACCCTGCTTTGTCCCAAAGTACTTTGTTACTGGAAAGAACCAGACCTTCCTGAAAGACCCAGGTTGAACCTGGTATGGCTGCTGTCTGGACTGCCCCCTTGGAAGTTCTGCAACTTCTGAGAGGGCCGTCCACATAGCTCTCTTGGGTTTTCTGGACTAAATCGGCCTGGAACACCCGAGAGAGCTTGCACCTCTATCCTCAAAACCCCTTAATAATGGGGATGGGTGGGTAAAATAACGTATTCAGCCACCATTAAACTGCTACAATGACACACCAGGAGAAGGGGGAGCCAGGAACGATATTCCTTTTCCCCCATTTTAAGGGGTTTTGAGGAGGGGGTGTGAGTGTCTCCCTGTCCTCTGGGAAGGTTCTGGGAGCGCATCTGAACACACATACCTCCCAGGAAATTGCGGGCGTTCACAGATAGTGTGTGGACTTTAACCAGGATGCAATTGGGTTTAAGAAACCCAATTGCACCCGGGTTAAAGTTATGTGTGGAACTGCTCCCAGAGTCTTTAAAAACAGTTTGAGCCTGAACTTATAAAATTTTCTAAATATTTCTTGATTTGTAGAAGACATGAGCCAACATACATATTTCATTATGTTTAAGAGCTGAAATTATTGAATACTATCTGTCCCCTGCCACGCATTGCTGTGGTCCACATGGGGGTTCTGTGTGGGAGGTTTGGCCCAATTCTATCACTGGTGGGGTTCAGAATGCTCTGTGATTGTAGGTGAACTATAAATCCCAGCAACTACAGCTACTAAATGTCAAGATTCTATTTTCCCCAAACTCCACCAGTGTTTACATTTGGGCATATTGTGTATCCGTGTAGTTTGGTCCAGATCCATCATGTTTGAGTCCACAGTGATCTCGGAATGTAGGTGAACTACAACTCCAAAACCTCAATCAATGCCCACCAAACCCTTCCAGTGTTTTCTGTTGGCCATGGGAGTTTTGTGTGCCAGGTTTGGTTCAATTTCACCATTGGTGGAATTCAGAATTCTCTTTGATTTTAGGTGAACTATAAATCCCAGCAACTACAACTCCCAAATGACAAAATCATTTTTTGAGTGAAGGACATACATTGGGTTGTTAGGTGTCTTGTGTCCAAATTTGGTGTCAATTCGTCCAGTGGTTTTTGAGTTCTGTTAATCCCACAAACAAACATTACATTTTTATTTATATAGATGTGTCTTCTAGATACCTAATTTAGCCAAAACACTAGACACATTTGGTAACATATATACAAAATTGTTTTTAAACTGTGCTAAAATATTGTAAATTTTCCTGAAGTTTTAAAAGACATTGCAGTCAAATGCAGAATCAGGGTAGAATATACTTCTGAATGAATATTGCTAAACAGACAGATTTGTTGATCTTTTGGTCATTTCTCTTTTCCTTTCAAATGCAGATTATGTATTTAGTGTAAGTGTTGTGTATAATGGACTGAACAGTATAACTCAGTACCATCCCATTGTTTTCAGTATTCTAGGCTTTCAAAGCAGTATGGAGTGGACATATATCTAAAAAAAGAGTACCTTCAATACACCGGATCTGTGAAAGAACGGGGTGTGCTTTACCTTCTAATGTCTTTACAACAGGTGAGAACACGAGTGGAGCAAAATTTCAGCACCAGAGAGAGAACTGGCTGTTTGCTAAATTTTATATCAAATGTGTGAGATAACGTTATGCTGGCCTGAGTGATGATCCCTAACACCATCCCCAGATTTGTCACTTTGCCATGACATTGTCAAAATGCAGAATGAGATTTTCAGTGCCTCCTAATACTTTATAGTTCAGCAGGATTTCCACAGGTAAAGCTCCACTGCCATGCTCTGAACCATTCAGGTAGATTCTTCAGGACTTGAGTAGGAACTGGAAATTTGTATTCTAATGAAGAAGAGAACCAAAATGATCCAATGGCTTGAGCATTGGAGTTAGACTGCAAGGGACCGGGGTTATAATCCTTGCTCAGCCATGAAAACCCATTGTATGACATGGGACAAGTCACATTCTCTCCAGCTTTAAGGAAAGCCATTGACAGACATCATTTGAATAAATCTTGCCAAGAAAATATTAGGATAATAAATATTAAGATTGTGCATGAACTAAGGACTATTAGTTCACCAATTTTAATGTATCTCTTGAATTCTTCATAGGTCAAGTATATGAAAGTATATCACGTTCTCTGTTTGGTTTGGGGGGGCTGAATTTGGTTCGGGGGGCTGAGTCTGAGTGAAAAGAGGGTCTACCCTAGCAAACCTTTTGTATCGTTACCCCAATACCCCCATGCATATGGGATATATTGAGCATGGTGATCAGATCATGATATGAATAAACATAACAGTTTAAATAATGTACCAGTAAGGCCTTCTCGCAGACCACCATGAGAATTTTGGGGGGGGGGGCTGAAGCCCCCCAGCCCCCCCCCCCCCCCCCGCCCAGCTACATGCCTGATGTGAGCGCATGTGCCTTCAAGTTCTCTGCTGCCTTATAGTCAGAGGCGGCCCTAGGTAATATTCAATGGTAAGCAAACAGTATTTTGCCCCCCCCCCCAACCAATCACTGATATATATTTTCTGTTCATTGTGGGAGTTCTGTGTGCCATATTTGGTTCAATTCCATCATTGGTGGAGTTCAGAATGCTCTTTGATTGTAGGTGAACTATACATCCCAGTAACTACAATTCACATATGTCAAGGTCTATTTTCCCCCAAGAGCACCTCAAAAGCCCTTGGGCAAAATCAAGTATACTGCAAATGCTTACTTTGCGTAAAGGGTTGAGCCGCCCCTGCTTATAGTGATCTCATGAATTCGATAGGGTTTTCTTAGGCAAATAATATTCAGATATAGTTTGGCTATTCCTTCCTCTGAAATGTAGCCTATAGAACCTGATGTAGTCTTCGATTCATGTACAGATTTCAGATGGTGTTTTTTTAAACAATTGATTTTAATTTTTATGGTTTTTAATTTTATATTTTAATGTATATGTTTATTTTTATCATATGCCTCCTTTATATGGCATTGAATAGTTGCCTATTGTAAGGCTGCTCTGAGTCACCTTTGAGGTGAGAAAGGCGGGGTATAAATACAGTAAATGAATAAATAAAATATTGGTCAGGGCTGACCTCACTAAGTTTCCAAGATCAGACAGAATCTGTTCAGCAAAACATATCCTGAAAGCACCTCTTTAGAGTTATAGACTATACTAATGATTATATTCATACATTAAAATGCATTATTAGCATCATGCACAGCTCAAAAATATTATTATCCTATATGATATATCATTTATATTTGTTTGTGTGTGTGTGTGTTCTTGTTATGAGTCAATGAAAATCCAGGGGGGGTGGGGGACTGTACAGAAAACATTGTTTTTTGTGCAAAATATTTTTTCATATAATGCTCCAAAATGGTGTGGAGGTGTGGGATCCCACAGTGATTGACATGTCATGCTGTGAACATTGCTAGTATTTTTACAGCCCCATGAAATACATCTTTAAGGTTTTTCATTTGGTCTTTCTTTCTTTCTTTCTTTCTTTCTTTCTTTCATGATTCTCTCATATGAATTACAGTCTTCAATTCAGAGCTGGACATGTAGCGGTAAATTATTTTCTATACTTACCAACCTAGAGACAAAAAGGATCTATGGAGGAAGTGGTAGCTGTAGGTCCATTTTACAAATTGGCCTTGTCCTCAAAGTACCATCTGATGTATTAATTTTTAAAACTAATATCTTGTGTTTTGGTCATTCATGTCTTGCAGGATCAGCAAAGAAAAGGTGTAATTGTTGCTTCAGATAATAACTTTTCTATGGCAGTAGCATACCATGCCTCGGAGCATCAGATTCCTGTGTTTGTCATCATGTCCACCAACACCTTGCCAGCTAGAGTTAAAATGTGTCGTGAATATGGGGCCATGGTCATTTCCTATGGCTCTACAACAAGAGATTCCCAGCTCCATGCTAGGAGGCTAGCACAAGAAAATGGTTATCTGTACCTTGAAGAGTAAGTGGACATTTTAACCCTTGTTTTTATTGAATTCTATTTCACTTTTGCCATGCACAAAAATCATCATTAGCTTGCATTGTGCTTTCTGTCTCCACACATCATCATCTTAACATGAAGAGACCATAGACTTCCGGGGACGTAAAGCAAAGCTTTAATAGTATGTGAACGATCTTATGCCTTTTTTCCCTACGTAGATAGAGAAAAGTTGTTTTGGTTCTGGATTTTTCAAGTGGAAACTGTAACACATGCATTGGTCACAATAACAATCAGAGTTTTTTTTCCATGCCTTGGAATTGAATAATATTTTCCTTCAGCAAGCCATGAACCTTAAGTAATAAATATCCAAACCTTGACATGGTTTATCTATTTGATGAAGAAAATGGATTAAACAGTTTCCAAATGCCATTTTGTACAAAAATTCCACTGATCTGTCATACTTCAGGTTAATAAAGAAGAACCATGTTTTTATAAATAGTTCTTCCCTAATTTTCCAGCTTGATATAGCCATTCCCACTTTAGAATCTTGTTTCATTTTGTTTTTCCATGATCTAGTTATTGAAACTATTTTACCAGTTATGAGGTTGCCTGGAATCTTCCTCACAGTAAAGCACCATTACCTTCCTGAGGAAGGGGTACCTATTGATCGACTCACATATGCATGTTTTCAAACTGCTAGGTTGGCAGAAGCTCAGACTAACAACGGGGCTCACTCGATCCCGTGGATTCAAACCCCCGACCTTCCGGTCAGCAAGTTCTCTAGCTTAGCAGTTTAACCCGCTGCGCCACTGCCATCATGTTACATAGAGTCACCATTATATCTTATATGTTTTATGCAAGAAAGTCTTTAGAACTCTGTATTAAATTGCTGTTTTAAAAAGAGAGAGCTGTTCAAACAAGTAGAGATGAAAACCGATCACAGGAGATTAACAGAATTGTTCGACTACTATTCTTTACCTGATTTGACATAACCAGTGACACAGTTGAAATGGATTTGAAATTTGGGAGGAGAAATGCTGAGGATTTTGTAGGACCCCTTGGAGACTAATATGAAGTGGTATAAATTAAAAATGGCTAAAGTGGCAGAAGAATAAATTGATTTTTTTTGTTGCTGATGGCCATTATCTGATGGCCTTCATTCAGATTAGTGTAACAAGACTATTAGCTGCTGTACAGAATGAGAACTTGAAAAGTTTGAATAAGCTATATAAAAAATTAGCAAAGTATGAAAAAAGTTAATGTCTGTGCCAGGCCCATAGCCAGGATTTTGATTCGGGTGGTGCTGAGTTTAATTCGGGGGGGGGGGGGGGGGGGAGAGGATCTACCCTAGCAAACCTTTTGTATCGTTATCCCAATACCCCCATGCATATGGGATATATTGAGCATGGTGATCAGTTCATGATATGAATAAACATAACAGTTTAAATAATGTACCAGTAAGGCCTTCTCGCGGACCACCTTGAGAATTTGGGGGGGGTGGGGGGGGCTGAAGCTACATGCCTGGTCTGAACAAAATATCCAAAAAAGTATTGTATTATCCAATAAAGTCTTGTATTGACTATATCTATATCAGTGTAGATATAGAGAACTGGGTGAAGCAGAAAGTATTGACGTCCTGTGAGCTCAATTCACCACAAAGGAATAGGAAAATGGAAATAAAGGATCATGTTGATATAATGCAGATGGAACACAGTTAATGCTTCACTGTATCATGGAGACATCCAGAATAAAATAATTACTAGCTGCATCTTATAAAATATGACTGACCTCTAAGTAGTTTCCCTGAATTTCAGGGTTTTTTGGCTCCATTATAAAAATAACACATCATATGAGAGGACTGAATACAGATACCACATGTCTCCAGGAAATAGCCTCATAGCCATCAATATAATGTTGTCATAATCCAGGATGGGAGAGAACTTTTCCGAAGTTGACCCTTCTAAAGCTTTTGGAGGGTTGACCTGGTAAAGTAATAACTCACAATGTGTGATTTCTTTGAGGATGAGAACCCCACCCTGCAGAGATTAGAGTTCGAGTCATTATCTTAATAATATTAAATCTTTTTTTAAAAAAATGTAAAGTAATATATTCCCCCACAATATTGGAGAACAATGTGAGATATGATATTTCATTTTTAATGTTGTTAGTCCCTTCACTGACTAATTCACATACTGAGAACCTATCAGTGTAAGCAGTAAGAGTTCTATTTTTAAAATTGAGTATCTCTAGAATGTTATAAAAGGGAGATCAGTACCTAATTTTGAAGACAGGTGTCAACCATTTCAATTTTTTTCTATGTATTTTTAGTGTAAGCAGTAGCATAATTCTTTCCATCTCATCAGGCCTGTAGCCAGGAATTTTTGTTTGGGGGGGGGGGTGCTGAGTTTGTGGGGGGGGGCTGAGTCTGAGTGAAAGAGGGTCTACCCTAGCAAACCTTTTGTATCATTACCCCAATACCCCCATGCATATGGGATATATTGAGTATGGTGATCAGATCATGATATGAATAAACATAACAGTTTAAATAATGCACCAGTAAGGCCTTTTCGCGAACCACCATGAGAATTTCGGGGGGGGGGGCTGAAGCCCCTCAAGCCCCCCCACCCCCCCCCCCGGCTACATGCCTGCCACTCATCAACAAAATATACAAAAATATAAATGATACCGGTATCTCCCTGGTATGAAAAAATGCACCAAATATTTAAGATGTTTCATAGCTTTAAAAAAATTAACAGCATGCACACATTGGTTAACTTTTAATATATTTTAGAAAAATATAATTCATGTGTCTTGTTGATGAGCAAATCTTTTTTGCGTCTTTCTGCTTGCTTTTGCAGACAGGACAGTGCCATCTATTTATCAGGCTTGGGGACCACGGGATTGGAAATCTATGAGCAAGTGCCAAAACTGGATGCAGTGATACTCCCAGCAGGGGCTCAGTGTGGATTGTTAGCAGGCTCCGCTGCTGCACTGAAACATTTGAATCCACGCATTGCTGTGATTGTAAGTATCTGTGTAAGTTTGTTCTCACTTGTGTGTATTTCGAACACTGTAGATATCATATTACCCACTCAAAAAAAATATTAGTATTATATTAAACTAATTAAAGAGAAGGCTGATAGACTTGAATAGTTTCAACAGAAAAACCAGCCCAAGCAGCTTTTTGATGAATATCAAAAACTTATTGTGCTCTATATGATCAGATTGTATCAAAGTCCACTTATGATTCAGTGGAAAAACATTTCTTAGTGTGCCAGAATGTGGAACATATTCAGATGTCATTTTCACTTGAAGCTGTACTCCTACTGAGGAATGTTTTAAAATAATGTAATGATTAAGGATTCAAATATTGCGGTCCTATTCTCACTGCAACAGAGAGCCTTTTGTATCTATGAAGGCGACTGAGCAATGTAGAACTCTGGGCTACTAGGATTTCCTGGGAAATGAAGGTTCGGTGGTATATTGTAAGATCTTCCAAACTTACATTCCTGATCTCCAAAAATAAAGAAAACCCTAGGAAAGAAACTGATTGGACCCAAGTCGCAAAATATTTAAAAAGAAATAAAAATATTGATTTAAGGAGGAAAAGAATATATACCAGGACTGAAAGAGGAAAGGAAGATGGGAGAAAAAAGAAGAAAGAGAGGGAATGAAGGAAAAGAGGAAACATTGAGGAAGATACCTCTTTTTTTCTTTTATATTTTGTGTTTTGTTTTGTTTTGCTGCTGTTCCCTTTGCCTTCAGGATTTAAAATGATTTTAAAGAAAATCTTCAATAAAAATTATTTTTAAAAAAGAAAAGGAAGGTTCTCCATGTCAAGAAGAGGCCTCTCACTTCAGAAAACAGCAATGTGTACTAGAAGGGAAATGAGGATGAGCTTGAAGTTGCTTGCTTGTTGTTGCTTTTCCTTCTTAGGGACCTCATCATAAAGGTCAGACAAAATGTATCACTTCGCCTGGCATTTGGGAGGAAAGAAAGGGCTGTAGGGTGAATATGTCACCCCACGCACAGCTCCATCTCAATGATACTTTCCCTGCCACATGGAGTCAGCACAATGCAGGAAGCCTCCTGTGTTGGGGTGAAAGCGTCCAGCGATGCTTTCACCCCGGTTGGGAGTGGGGTCCCTGCCAAAAGTCATATGATGTTGTGTAATGTCCGGCATAGGGCTCCATCCTCTAGACTGGGTGAAAGAATCCTAGGATGCTAAATTCACCCCATCTGATGAGGTTGTATGTGTTACTGAACATTTAATAAAAATGTTTGAACAGCACTACAACAATGAGGATCAATAGGAACCAGAACTGGATTCAAATCCAATCTAAGCCTGTGATTCCTAGGGCCCATTAACACTCCAGAATCATAGTGTTATTATTTCACTTGAACTGCTATGGTTCTATTCTGTGGAATTCTGGGGTTTGTAAATTGTTGAAGTGCTGGAGCTCCCTGGCTGAGAATGTGAAATGCTCTTCCCTTAATCTCCAATCCCAAAGCATGTGATGAAACTAAGGGCCCTTCCAGACAGATCCTGTATCCCAGATTTTTCCTGATTTTTAAATATCCGCATTTGCATATACATACATAATGAAATATCTTGAAGGTGGGACCCAAGTCTAAACACAAAACTCAGGGCCCTTCCAGACAGACCCTATATCCCAGGATCTGATCCCAGGTTTTCTTCTTTAAACTTGATTATATGAGTCCGCACTGCCAGGTAATCAGGGATAATTTTATTTATTTATTTATTTATTTATTTATTTATTTATTTATTTATTTATTTATTTACTGTATTTGTATACTGCCCTTCTCAGCCCTTAGGATAAACAGAAAACCTGGGATCAGATCCTGGGATATAGGGCCTGTCTAGAAGGGCTCTAAGGCAGTTAGAGTAGAATAATAAGGCTATAGTCCTTCATCTGATACCCATGCAGGAACCTCAGGGACTGCCTTAGGTGCTAGAAAAGGATATTGATGGACTCCTAATCTAATTCAGCAGAGTTCTCGAGTTTTATGCTTATGATAATTCGGGGCCTCTGACATATCAGTGTGAAGATTCCAAACTATGCAATGAGCAGATTTGCAAGGGTCATCAGCTATATCACTGCAGCAGAGCTGGACGAGTGAGCATTTAAATGAACTTCAATATCTCTTTTAATCCATCTCCCCTAAACACACATTTTGCAATTAGTGATGCAATCCAACATCAGGACAGCTGACCATATTGCTCAGCCTTTGAGGATAGAAAGATGTGAAGGAGAATGGAATAAGCACTGTAAAAACACAGGATACCCTCCTGGTGTCTTGCAGTTTTTTAAGGCTACAACTTCTATGAATGCCCATCAGCTTCTGGAAGCTATTTTCACCTGCCAAGTTCTGTAACAGAAGTGTAAAATATTCTTGACAGACTAAGTGGTATGACAGTGGTTCCCTGAATATAGAAAGTGAAGAACATGAATACTGGGTTGCTGCAAAGTGTCTGGGAGCCACACACACCTACACATGGTATCACTTTGAGCCACAATTCCAGGAATGCTCCATTGTAAGATGTGAGCAGTATGTACCCCCATTATGTGTTTCATTCAAGAATCACATTCCCTGAAGGCTTCCAGACTTGCAGTTACAGGGTTAGCTGTATCATACTATTCCCACACTTGAAATAATAACACTAAAGTTTTTGGGGGAAATGTAGTGATTAGCTGAACCCTAACACTAAACCTTTGTGTTGTGCCCTCTTTTTCAGGGTGTGGAATCAGAGGGTTTCCCTGTATTGCAGCAGTCCTTAAAGACTGGGCGCTCTGTTGAAGACCAGAGCCACAGTAACTGTCAGTTCTACAAAGGTAAGAAAATCTTTGTAGCATTTGTGCTCCATGACTATTTCAAGGAACAAGAGTGGTTCAGGTATCCTGGTTTGTTTGGTTTTTTTTCATGATGTTCACTATCTAGAAATTATTTGTTATGTGTCATCAAGTCAAACTTATGGTGACTCTATCAAAATGGAATTGTTGGGGGTGACTTATTCAAAGGCGGTTAGCTTTCCCCTTCCTTTAGGGCTACAAGAGTGTGATTTGTCCAAGGCCAACCCAGTGGGTTCCTATGCTGATCAGGGATTGTAAGCCTGGTCTCCCAGAGTACTAGGACCTTATCACAGTCTTCTCTGCATCTTCACATTACTGAAATGGAGTTCCACGTGATGCAGGGCAACTTCCAGGAGGACTCTGTGAGGTTCTGTTTCAGCAGCATGGAGAAATGAAGCCCAGAATGCCTTTGGATGAGTTGGGTAGAACAGAGAACAGAAGATGAAGCAGGGAAAGGATGGGAAAACATGTAAGATGGAAATCCATCCCAGAAGTCAGAGAAAGATGTTAGGGAATGAAGGAGGACGGTTCCCCCCTCTTTCCCTTGACCCTCTGAGGTCCCTAGTCTAACACTTGGACCACTATACCACACTGGGTCTTTCTATTCTAATATGTTTTTGGATGCCAGATTCTAGGGGCTTACAAACTGGAAAGATCTTGCTTCATTGATATTACAGGAAGCACAAACAAGATTAAAAATTAGATGAAAAGATAACATATAATTAATAGTAATGTATAATCCAGTATTTGCATCCTGATATTGTCCCAGTTAGGAGCCCCCAGTGGCACAGTGGGTTAAAGCGCTGAGCTGCTGAGCTTGTTGACTGAAAGGTCACAGGTTCGATTCCGGGGAGCGGCGTGAGCTTCCGCTGTCAGCCCCAGCTTCTGCCAACCTAACAGTTCGAAAACATGCAAATGTGAGTAGATCAATAGGTACCGCTCTGGTGGGAAGGTAACGGCGTTCCATGCAGTCATGCCGGCCACATGACTTTGGAGATGTCTATGGACAACACTGGTTCTTCGGCTTAGAAATGGAGATGAGCACCACACATCAGAGTAGGACACAACTGGATTTAATGTCAGGGAAAAACCTTTACCTTACAGTCCCAATTAAAACCATTAGGTTTAAAAACAGAGAGATGTATTTTGGAGTGACTTCAGTGTATTGAAACTAAGATATAGTGTTAAGCGCTATTGTTTAGAGAAATGTTTCTCTATAAGAACAAGATCTGGAGATTTCTAACCATTTCATTATATGTGACCCGAGATACCTTCTCTTTTTTATCACACCAAAAAAGTTTCCAGAAGTATAAAAACAAATTTTAAAAGCAAAAAAAAAAAAAAAAGTACATGTGAGAATTGGGAAAGTAAAAAGGTAGTCTAGACAGTCCCCAAGTTACAAACAAGATAGCTTATGTAGGTTTGTTCTTAAGTTGAATTTGCATGTAAATTGGAACAGGTATATTATAGATAGATAGATAGATAGATAGATAGATAGATAGATAGATAGATAGATAGACAGATAGCATAACATAGCATAGGGAAGGGTTAAGACTTGTTTCAGGCCTCTTCCTTCTCCACTTCTCTATTTCTAGTAGTTTCCTTTCATAGGACCTTCTGTAGAACTTGAGTAGATAAACCAGTGAAGGAGGCCCGTAGCCAGGATTTTGTTTCGGGGGGGGGGGGGCTGAGTCTGAGTGAAAGAGGGTCTACCCTAGCAAACCTTTTGTATCATTACCCCAATACCCCCATGCATATGGGATATATTGAGCATGGTGATCAGATCATGATATGAATAAACATAACAGTTTAAATAATGTACCAGTAAGGCCTTCTCATGGAGAGAGAAGCCCCCCAAGCCCCCCCCCCATGTGAGTAGATGAACCAGTGAAGCCAGGCTCTATCCTCATCATTGTCCAACTATGACATCAAAGCAGTTTAGCCAATCACTACCACTGGTTTCATTACCACTATAGAAATACTTTCTTCTTCATAGTCTGTGCTTCACCTAATCAGAATATCATAGAGCTGAGTGGCCTGGTGAGAACCATGCCTACTACACTATAGATTTTATTTCTATTAACATGCAATGAGAAAATTAATTATTGTTTATTATTTTATTTCTTTGTTTACAAATTGATCTTTCAGATGTGAGTGGACCTTGTTTTGGCACCAACTCCTTGCAGTTGACTGGAAAATTTGTTGATAAAGTTGTCACAGTACGGTAGGTACAGTAAATACGTAATTTCATGAAAGTTTTAACCTTGTTTGGTCACTCCTTTGTGTAATGTCAAGGGATTTTAGGAACCACATCCTAAAATGTGTGAATTTAATTAGAACACCAAAAAATGCAGAAGACTGCAGTTGTGTTGCATCATATGTGTCCAGTGGCTGCCACATCTATAAAGAGAAATACTGTATAGATGGCAGCAAAAGCTCGGGAAAATTTGTTGATAAAGTTGTCACAGTACGGTAGGTACAGTAAATATGTAATTTCATGAAAGTTTTAACCTTGTTTGGTCACTCCTTTGTGTAATGTCAAGGGATTTTAGGAACCACATCCTAAAATGTGTGAATTTAATTAGAACACCAAAAAATGCAGAAGACTGCGGTTGTGTTGCATCATATGTGTCCAGTGGCTGCCACATCTATAAAGAGAAATACTGTATAGATGGCAGCAAAAGCTAAGCCTTTACTGGGTGGGACTCAAGAAGGAATCATAACGTGGTCTCACAATTCCCCCAAGTGGGATTGGCCTAAGTTGTTTTGCAGCACTGTGTCTTATATACATTTTAAATGTCCAGATAATTTTGCTTTGAAATGTATATAGACAGGCCAACCTCCCACTCCTTTTAAAATTATCTCTCCGGTATAAACAAAAGGGGAATTTTCCACCAAACATGGGCATGCCATTTACAATTTATTGGATTGCTTCATACAATTTATTTTAAACTTATGGTGCTCTTGCATCTAAATATTAAGTGAAAGCTAGGGTTCTGGCTTGTGACTACAAGACTTTTCCCACAGTTTTTTTTTTTTGCCATAATCACAAACTAAATGTACAGGTTGCTTTGGTGTGATTCCTGCCTATTCGCATGGATAATGTTTTGTCAGTAATTATCAGAGCTTCCTGAAAAAGGAAAAAAGACACATACATTTTGCTCTTACACTTTATATACTTCTGTTCATGCTAAATTATATTCTGAATGTGCCCTTAGGGTATTATTTGCATATACTGTGCACATATATATGCAAAGAATGAATCAAGTTGATTTGTCTTGTTGAAAGTAAAATAGATCACAAAGATTGCCAGCTGGATAGAGAAATATACATAACTTGTGTGTTTTAATATGATTGATTGTAAGGGGTTTTTAAAATACATTTGAAAATGTTCTCTAGCACATTTTAATCTAGCTAAGCTGAATAACTCAATATTAAGCAAGTTCACTTCTGCTACTCTTTTTTTTAAATTAAGGAATATAATTAAAGATATTGGCTGGTAACTGACAAGTTACCAAACCTAGTTACTAGAAATTTTAACAATCCAATCCTATATATGCCTATTTAAAAGTAAATTCCTTTATATTCTGTTATGCTTACTACAAATTAAATAGATATAAGATTGCATGCTGAATGTTTCTTTAATTTAGTATAGAATTGATGTTAATCATCTGGTTATTGTTGCATAACCAGGGGCGGCTCAACCCATTACGCAAAGTAAGCATTCGCAGTATAGTTGATGTTGCCCAGGGGTGCTCTTGAGGCTCTCTTGGGAGAAAATAGACCTTGACATATGCGAGTTGTAGTTACTGGGATGTATAGTTCACCTACAATCAAAGAGCATTCCGAACTCCACCAATGATGGAATTGAACCAAATATGGCACACAGAACTCCCATGACGAACAGAAAATATATATCAGTGATTGGTTGGGGGGGGGGGGTGCCAAAATACTATTTGCTTACAGTTGAAAATTACCTAGGACCGCCTCTGTGCATAACATGATTGGCGTAACAATTTTTGCTGGTAACAAAAATTCATAACAAAATAAATAAAACTCCTGCCTTTTCAGGATACCCCCAGTTTTTGTCTCACTCTGGCAAATGGTTGGGCTACAAATGAAGCACAAACCAGCAGCCTATATATGTGAAAAATAAATTTGAGAGCTAACAAGCCTTGCACTTCCACCATGCAGGACTGCACCAAAATAATTTCACCTCAGAACTGGCTTTGGAAGTGCAACATAGCAAAGTAAAGCCAACTATCAAAACAGAATAAACCCCCTTCTTTACTGCTGAACATAGCTGTCATTTTGATTCAGCACCCAATTGCTTTTCTGAACACTGTTCCAATCTCCAGTTTGTCCATCTTATGGAGAAACTGATTGGCCATAACAACCTATAGAATTAAGAATACTATGTGACATCACAGGCAAAGTCATGACAGTTTCCACGGTTTTTTCCTTTTCATGTCAGGAGCAACTTGAGAAACTGCAAGTCACTTCTGGTGTGAGAAAATTGGCCATCTGCAAGGATGTTGCCCAGGGAATACCTGGATGTTTTACCATCCTGTGTGTGGCTTATCTCATGTTCCTGCATGGGAAGCTGGAACTGACAGATGGAAGCTCACCCTGCTCCCCAGATTCGAACCGCTGATCTTTCAGTCAACAGTCCTGCCAGAACAAGGGTTTAACCCATTGTGTCACTGGGGGCTCCACTGGTAATAGGATTCAGTGGTAGAGAGGGGCAATTTGGTCAAGAATTCTTATGCCAATAGAGTAAAAGGGCACTGGGATTAAGAGTGTTGTAGCTGCTTGAACAAGAAATAAACAAGAAAAACCAATGAGTGCTATTTTGTGGCATTTTTAAAGGGCAAAAAGTAACTTGTTTGAGTTCGGAAGTTTTTGTATATCACCTGCTGTCTAGTGAATCGTCATGTGAGAAATCAAGCGATGTTCGTCTACATTAGATATTCCTCTTACTGTTCAGGGAACAGGACATTCTGATTTCCATGCTGAGGTTGCTGGAGTATGAACGTGCCATTGTCGATGCTGAAGGAGCCATTTGTCTTGCGGCACTGGTCTCTGGGAAGCTGTTGGAACTAAAGGGCAAAAGGTACAGAAACTCTGAAGTAACCAGAAACAGAGAACTATGGCGGAGGTTATAAAATGTGCATGGTAGGTCGAAAGTGGAGAAGTAGGTATCAGCAGCTGAACTGTAAAATACATTCATTCCTGCAAGGAGCAGTGGTAGCAGCCAACTTGGATGACCGAGATGTTGATGATAATTTATGATAGTAGCAGTATAGCTGTTGTATCATATGCTAAGGTATAAAACCAGGAATCTGCTCTGACTTTCAAGTTCCATTGGTGGACATCCCATGTACAAATTGGTTGGTCACAGTGTAAATAGAGTGCTGGACTAAGTAGACCTTTGTTCTGATCTGGCTAAAGTTTCTAAAGTGTAACTCCAATTAGAGTCTGTGTGTGTGTGTGTGTGTGTGTGTGTGTGTATAGAGAGAGAGAATGTTGTGGAAACAAGGATTGGATTTTGTTTTTTGATTTTTTTTCTGTGTCAGGAGCAGCTTGAGAAACTGCAAGTTGCTTCTGGGTGAGAGAATTGGCCATCTGCAAGGACGTTGCCCAGGGGCCCGGATGTTTGAGTTTTACCATCCTTGTGGGAGGCTTCTCTCATGTCCACTGCATGGGGAGCTGGAAGCTGGAGCTGACAGGGTGGAGCTCACCCCTCTCCCGGATTCAAACTGCTGACCTTTTGGTCAGCAGTCCTGCTGGCACAAGGGTTTAACCCATTGCACCACCAGGGCTTCACAAGGATTTTCCCCACTGTAACTTTTTCAGGAGTGAATTTCCCTTCTTAGGGATAGATTTCTCTCACTTCCTGTTGTCCCAACCTTTGTTCTTAACTGTGAGTCATTTGTAAGTCAGATGTTTGTATCTTAGGGACTTTGTGCACTGTATAGATTTAATAGATGAAAGCAGGTGACGTAGGCAACAAAGAGGTATCAGATGGTATATTTAATAGTTGATTATGCTAGCATTAATTCTGCTGATTATTATTATTATTATTATTATTATTATTATTATTATTATTAAACACCTCAGAGTTTAAGATCGTCTGGGGAGGCCCTGCTCTCAGCCCCACCTCTGACACAAGCATGCTTGGCTGGGACGAGGGACAGGGTCTTCTCGGTGGTGGCCCCCTGCCTGTGGAACTCGTTCCGCAGTGAAATCAGGTCAACTAAATCCCTCCTCTCCTTCAGGAGGAAATTGAAAATGTGGTTGTGCGACCAGGCTTTCGGGTAGCACGCAGATAATAACAATGATGATAATGCTATGGAAAATGGACTATGGATAGGCTTGCGATTGTGTTGTGTTTGCAGAATTCAGTTCTAGATAAGACTAGACAGCCAGTATGATTGTAAATGGCTTTTTAATTATAAACTACTTTTAAACTAATTTAATGTATCATTCATATGTAATTACTGTATGTATTGTTTTGTAGGTAGGGGCATCAAATTGTGCCGGTTGTAAGCCGCCCTGAGTCCCCCTACAGGGGTTGAGAAAGGCGGGGTACAAATGTTGAAATAAATAAATAAACAAATAAATAAATGATGCTAGTGTTAAATCTTCTGAGATACACGCGTGGGTGGCAGGGAGGATATCTGCTTATCTCATTACTTTCTCCCATTTTCAGGGTGGCTGTTGCTGTATGCAGCGGGAACCTGGAGCTTCCTCTGATGCGGCAATGCATAGATCGTGCTCTGACCCTTGACAACAGAGTGTGCAAATTCTCCATCCTGGTCTCCGACTGCCCAGGAGATATTTCAAAGCTGCTGGAAATTTTGGCTCGGGAGGAAGTCAGGTAGTTTAGAATGAGAATCATGCATCGCTGAAATATGAGAGATTGGAAAACAATCCTTTGCGCTGCTGACTGTCATTTACTATTTTGTACATCTTGGAAATGCTACATCTAAGGCTATAAGAGTAAAATTACTTATATTATTGACCATTTTCTCTGCCACTTGCCCAACAAAGCTCAGGGAGGAATACAAATACATCAAGTTTATTATAGATAATTTAAAAAATTAAAATCCTAATAATTGGAAATGATAAACCATTCGAGTGGCAGAAAATATTGAGAAACACCAGGAATCTCCAAAGCTTTGTTGGAAGCGTTAATTGGTACTCACACAGAGCCAACCTTAAGAAATGGGGCTACAAAGTGGAGTCCACGACATGCGAGTGAGGAGAAGAGCAAACCACAGGTCACCTATTACAATGCAACCTGAGCCCCGCCACATGCACAATGGAGGACCTTCTTATAGCAACACCAGAGGCACTCCAAGTGGCCAGATAGTGGTCAAAGGACATTTAATAGAATTCCAAGTTTTCAAACTTTGTGTTTTTTTTAAAAAAATAAAATAAAACTGTTTTGTTCGCTCCTGATACAATAAATAAATAGACTTGTAAAGATGGTGGGATTGAAGGAAGAGCTTCTCTTGAGCATTTCAACATGCAGACATGCTTATATGGAGACATATGGTCTGTGCTGATAAAAACCACACACAATGGAAGAAGATTTTATTGTACTATTTAGTACTATAAAGGGATAGGACTCAACTAATATATTTTCAGAAGCTGGGATGGTGGTGGTAAGACCTGTGATATGGCTTTTGGGGGCCCAAATGAAGTAAATGACAAAATACTGGAGTTTTTGTAGGGCAGATTCCCAAAATGTTTCCCAGGTTTCGGCCCTTCTGTCTTCTAACTAGCAGATACTGACTTACACAAATATTTCTCCTTGCCTCCCCTGACCCACCAAAGGTCATTTACTCTCCACAGACAGACAGACCATGTGTAACTATGACTCGATCTCCTGTGATCTCACAAACCATTTTCTTTTTCCAGAATATTGGACATCAAACAGGAACACATGTACATGGCATCTGATTTGTTCACCAGTGAGGTAAGAAAAAGCCTGCAACTGGATTTCATTTTTAATTTCTGCATAAACTGTTCGTTAAAAAACTAATGTTGGCCATGGAATTGCAGGCAGGCGTTTTTATAGCCCTGACACCTAAGATTCTTTTAACTAGTCTGCCAAGGACCACCCTCACATTTAACCTATCAGAGTGGTTAAAAAAAGAGTGCATCACTGTGTGTTGATGTGCCTTCAAGTCACCTGTAGATTTATGACAATTTTGTAGGTTTTCTTAGGCACAGAATACTCGGAAGTGATTTTATCAATATCTTTTGCTGAAATATAGTCCACAGCACCTGGTATTTGTTGGAAGTCTCCAATCCAAGTATGACTCATGAATGACCCTACTTATTTTCCTGGATCAGCTGGGATCTGATGCCTTTGACACATTTAGATCCAAAACTATCACCCACCAAAAGAATCACCCATGAAAGAAGCCAGAGTGATGTGGAGTCCTTGTATCCTTGTCAATGGAAGTACTTTCAAGACATTTATTTCTAAAGATCTTACATTTGTCCTTGTTGAAATTCATTTTGTTAGTTTTGATCCAGCTCTCTATTCTCTTAAGGTTATTTTGAATTCCAGTCGTGTCCTCTGGAGTATTAGCTATCTATAAAGAAAACAGATCCAGACACGGAGTTATTATAAGTATGCGATTCTACATCCCACCGCTGCCACCACTCTAACAGAACCTGGATAGGTGAAGGGACCTTTTACACCATCAGGGGAGGAAATATATCGCATCCCACCTGCTGACAGCAATTTAAAGGAATTTGATTCTGGCACGAAGTGTTTATATATATATATGAGGTAACGTGTGTGCTCTGGTAGATTTGCTGCCACCACCTAAAATACTTTAGGATATTAAAGATGATTCCCTGAGGTAACCTTCTTCCTGCCACCCAGCTCTCCTTTAGATCCCAGAGATGAATGTGATGTTAAGATATTAAAGTGATTAGAATTATCCCCACAGGAATGAATTACCACTGAGGCTTCTTTAAAAGTTGAAACAGAGAAAAGATTTATTGATAAGATCAAACAAACAACTATCTTCCTTAATGGGGCACAAAAGCTTAAATGGTTACTAGAGTACAATATTCTTGATGGTTTCTTTAAACAAGTTACTTGGCTTAGTCACTTGTAAAACTCCTCACTCTACAGTAACACAGTAGCAGTGAGTTCCCCAGACTAACCTACTCAGGCTGTCTTCAGAGCAATTAGCCCACTCTAAGCAGAGTTCTCTATATAGCTAATCCACTCTATCCAGAGAGCAAACCACTTGTGTAAACCCACACAAGCACCCAGGCAACTATTTGACCGTCCTGGCCAATAATACAGCCTTGCCTGTCACAAATGCTCTCTGTCAGAAAAATTCTAAGCTCAAAACACCTCTCCTCTCTCTTCTGTTCCCAAATTCAATCTCCCTGCTCTCTGTGAAGCTGACACTTTTCCCTCTCAGGACTTAGCTCCTCCATCTGTCTTAACCAATCCCAAGAGATCTTCAGCTCCTCCCCTTCTTCTCTCTTTACACTCTCAAGATGTCTGCTTCCTTTGCTAACCCTCCCAAAATGGAGGCCTGCCTCACTGATATCCCAGGCTTCCCCTTCGGCCTACTTGGTAAGAATCGTTACACTATCCCTCCTAATTTGGTGTTATCTGCAAACTTGATAAGCATACCCTTTAAATCTGGATCCAAGTCATTAATAAAGGTATTGAACAGTATTAGGCCCAGGACTGAACCCTGTGGCACTCTACTAGTTATTTCTTTTCAGGATTAAGAGGAACCATTGGCACTCTTTGGGTTCGGTCACATAACCAATTACAGATCTACTTAATCGTAGTATTGTCTAGCCCACATTTGACTAGTTTGTTTGCAAGAAGGTAATGGGGAAACTTGTTGAAGACCTTACCAAAATCAAGATATGCTACATCCACAGCATTCCCTGCATCTACCAAGCTTGTAACCCTGTCGGAAAAAAAAAGATTAGTCTAGCATGAGTTGTATTTGTGAAATCCATGTTGACTTTTAGTAAACACAGCATGCCTTTCTAAGTGATTGCAGACTGCCCCCTTAATTATCTGCTCCAAAATCTTTCCTGGTATTGCTGTCAGGCCGACTGGATGGCAATTGTTTGGGTCCTCTTTTTTCCCCTTGTTAAAGATAGGGACAACATTTGCCCTCCTCCAGTCTGCTGGGACTTCTCCTGTTCTCCAAGAATTCTCCAGTAGTTCTGAAATTACTTCTGCTAGTTCCAGTACGCTTGGATGTAGTTCATGTGGTTCATCTAATTTCTATTTGAAGCACTTTGAGTAGTCAACTGAGCTCTAACACAATCTGTCCTACCTCCCCTCTTTCATGTCCCTGTATATTTCATGGCACACTTTAAAACTGATGGGAGAGTAGCTGGGCAGACTGAGACATGCACAGTTGGTAGGATAGGCCAGGTTGGTTGCCAAGCCACTCAGGGCCGGAACATTTTATTTGGGGTCTCTGTAGAGACACAAAACCCATGTGTGTAGGGCACTGATGACCACTTGAAGCAAGTAAAGGTAATCAATCTGTTCTTCCTAGGACAATTGCAAGAAATCATGACTGTTATAGTGATACTACTGTAGATATATGGAGTGATAGTAATGTGTAGTGATGCTGCAGACCAGGCCCGTAGCCAGGATTTTGTTTCGGGGGGGCTGATTTTTTTTCAGGGGGGGTTTCGGGGGGGGCTGAGTTTCAGGGGGGGGGCTGAGTCTGAGTGAAAGAGGGTCTACCCTAGCAAACCTTTTGTATCATTACCCCAATAACCCCATGCATATGGGATATATTGAGTATGGTGATCAGATCATGATATGAATAAACATAACAGTTTAAATAATGCACCATTAAGGCCTTTTCGCGAACCACCATGAGAATTTCGGGGGGGGGGGTGAAGCCCCCCAACCCCCCCCCCCCCCCCCCCCCCCCTGGCTACATGCCTGCTGCAGACCAAATGTGGAGAATTGCAATAGGTTGACTTTGGGAGAGTGCACTAGTTTTTGCTTTTTCCCATTTTCCTTTTTTTCAGTTTTCATTTTCATTTTAAAAACTTTTTTGGACATTTTAAAAATTCTGGTTTATTTTATATTGGAAAAAAATCTTCTCTTAGTCCTAAAATAACTGCACTGGCATGAAACATGGCAAATGTTTCTCATATATCATAGGAAGCATTTTAAAAGCAAAACTCATTTACATTTTTAATTGGGAGAGAAGCAGAAAAATCGCATTCAAAGTACCCCCGGCAGATGGCCATACAGCTACTGCTTAAAAACCTCCAAAGAAGGAGCCTCCACCACACTCCGGGGCAGAGTTCCACTGCTGAACAGCTCTCACGGTTAGGAAGTTCTTCCTAATGTTCAGGTGTAATTTCCTTTCCTGTAATTTGAAGCCATTGTTCTGCATCCTAGTCTGCAGGGCATCAGAAAACACGCTCCCTCCTCCCTATGACTTCTCCTCACATATTTATACATCATGTCAACTCTCAGCCTTCTCTTCTGCAGGCTAAACATGCCCAGCTCTTTAAGCCACTCCTCATAGGACTTGTTCTCCAGAGGGTGCTGGGATGCCCAGAAAAAGCTTTAGAATTACATGGGGTCCACACATCCATTTCATTCTTCCCTTGCCCCAAAGGTCTCCCCCATTAACCCCCATTAACCCCCATTAACACTGATGCATACTAACGCAGAAATTATTGTAGCTGAGTTTAGTGAGTCTTATTCCCACATTGCATGTTGCAGCTTCATACTTTACACCAGCAGTTGCATTTGCTATAGGCACATTAATAATAATAATAAATAATAAACTTTATCTGTACCCCACCACCATCTTCCCCAATGGGGACTCGGGGCGGCTTACATGAGGCCAAGCCCAAACAACAACATCAGTGTGTTTGCCAATGTTTTCTGCGGTAAACATGCGATGTGAATTAAGCAGGATCAGCTCAAGATTATTATTTCCTAAAGGGAGCAACACACACACACACCCTTGCCAGCCAAGATGCAGAAAGCCCAAAGCCAGGCAAGTAATTTTGATACCTATAGTAAAAAAAATATCCCACAAGTACCTCTACTTTTGCTAGCAGTAAAATAAAAATAATTGTTCATGACATGTAAAATATGAAGCAAGTTCCTAATTGATAAGATCAGCCCAACTCAGAGGACAATTTTCAAATGGATTGTGGAGTATATGCTTGCCATCAATGGCCAAACAGGGTTCCCCAGAATGAGTTCCTAATTGTTTAGGAATGTGTATCTGTTCATCATCCTTGACAAAATGTATGTGGAATACACTGATTTAGACATGACAACTGAACTGCTCCATAAAGTATGACCTTTTGAGAATGAAGAGTGTCGTCTACCAAGCACTGCTGTGCAGTCATTTAATTGAATGGGAAATGAGCATCAGCAATGATTTATATTCACTCCAAATCTTAGTTTCCCTCTGGCCATGCAACTGAAATTCATAACTCATTTTGCTTGAGCATTATACTATACATTCATCCATGGAAAGCTGTGCATTTCCTGGCTCACATGGGTGGTTGGCGCAGTAACAATGAAAATATTATATTTTATTTTGCATCGTATTTATTCAAGAGCCATTAAGGCATTTTGGCCAGCTCTGTACAATTTTAAGTATTCCCAATGAGCCAATTTTATTTTGTTGGTAAAATGCCATGCAAAAATATTTATAGCAGGAGTTCTCAATTGGTTCCAGATTTCTGGCGTTTTCATAGCCACCAGGAATACATGCAATACATGAAAACATATGTTGGAAATTCACTTCACTTGCTGCAAAATTGGCCTTTTGGAAAAACAAACAATACGCCATTTCAAGAACACAAAAAGTCTTTTACCTTATACTTATCCCATGGTGACTTTTCATATTGTGTATTTTGTTTTTAAAAGGAAGTCTTTTAAATTGAGTATCACAAAAAAAAAAGATTTGTTATGCTTTTTGAAATAGGTTGAATGAATGGTTTATTGTACTAGCCATAGGCCATGACATAAAATATACAACCTTTAAAGGTACAATACGCACTTTCCAATACAAGTATTAAAACAAGTTCCATATACTAGCTCTTTAAAATTATAGTAGTGACACAATAACAATTTGAAATAGGAGTGTTTTCAGTTTTGGCTGCAGATCTTGATAAGTGATGAAAATATAAAACGCTGAGCTGAGTTTTTGGTAATGTCACCTGGTTAAAGAGCATTGAATATTGTGGTTTGTTGCTGATGAAGCCTGGCTAAATGAAAGCAACTAGCTATTGTGATGTATTGCTGGTGAGGTCTGACTGAGGGAGAGGGATTGGCCATTGTGACATCCTGTTGATGAGACCTGGCTGAAGGAGAGAGGACTGCCTTTGTAACTTCTTAGTGATGTCAAATGACTGAAGAAAAGGATTGGGTGTTGCAACTGTTTGCCGATGAGACCTGGCTGAATCAGAGGGACTTGACACTGGGAGGTCTTTCTGCTGGGTCCTTGCTGAAGGAAAGATACTGATCATTGTGACCTCTTGTTGATGAGGTCTGGCTGAAGGACCTCACTGGCTATTGTGAGATCTTGCTGATCTGACCTGGCTAAGCAAGAGGGACTGGCCATTGGGAAATCTTGCCAGTGAGGCCTAGAAATTGTAAACTGTTGCTGATGAGAACTGGTTATTTATTTCATATCAAAAGCATTGCATAAATTAGTATAAAACTGATTTTAAAAATAGAAGGAACGTAGGCAGCTAAATATCTTTTGACCAAAAACAGACAACAGCAATGGTATTGTCTGTAGCCTCCAACAATAATTCTTCCATACATGAGGCAGGACATAGTGGACGAGTATACAGATGCGGAGTTATCTGTTCTGCTCCACAGTCACACAAGGTGAGGGATTCTTTTAGGTAGTGCCATTTTGCCAGGTTGTCTTTTGGTCTGTCCACTCCACTTCTGAGTCTGTTCAGGGACTTCCAAGCTGCCCATTCCTGGTTTGCCGCACACTGCACACTGCACTTGCCCTATAATCCTTACATATTACCTGTCACATCAGCACTTTTTAATCCTGTACCCTTTACTCTGGCCCGGCCCAGTTTTATCTTGTTGATGTATTGTTTATTGCTTGTTGTTTTGTTGTTAATACTGCCTTAATTGTTTTTAATTTGCTTTAAGTGTATTGTTATGTTGTGTATTGAGGCCTTGGCCTTTGTAAGCCGCATCGAGTCCTTCGGGATGCTAGCGGGGTACAAATAAAGTTTAATAATAATAATAATAATAATAATAATAATAATAATAAACAAACAGGCACATGAAATCACTCTCAACAAAAGATTCCCCCCAGGCGCTGCCAAGCCATTGAATGCAAATCAAGGTGATCAGCTGAAACATTCACAGCTAGCCCCAGCAAACAAAAGTCCTTTGTCTCACCCTGGTCATTCCACAGATATATAAACCCATTTTTCCTAGTCCCAACAGACCTCATTACCTCTGAGGATGCTTGCCATAGATGCAGGCGAAACGTCAGGAGAAAAATTGCCTCCAGAACATGGCCATATAGCCCGGAAAAACCTACAACAACCCAATAATAATAATAATAATTTGCCCCTGGAGGAAGACCCTCGTGGGGGGCCATCCAGTTGGGATTTCCTAGTTTCGCTGCCCAGAGGGATACCCTTACTGTTGCTGGGGAACACCAAGAGGAATGGTAGTTCTCATAAAGCTGTAATGTTCATTTGTGGGATTAACATAACTCAACAACCACTGGATGAATTGACACCAGAGTTGGACAGAATACACCTATTAGGCCAAAGAATGACCATCACTCATAAAACACTGAAAAACACAATAGAAGAGACTTAAAAAGCCAAAAAATTAAAAATACATTACAACGCATACCCAAAACCACTTATATACACATATACACAAATATATACACACATATATACACCACACATAAGACATATACCCAGATTGGGCCACAGCAATGGCAAGGGATGGCTAGTAAATAATAAATAAATTATATGTGTATTGTATTTAATTGTAATTCAAAACCCAGTTTCTGAACAGGGGATTGGATTTCTTAATCTATGTAAATAAAAATGTAATGTTCGTTTGTGGGATTAACAGAACTCAAAAACCACTGGACGAATTGACACCAAATTTGGACACAAGACACCTAACTATCCAATGTATGTCCTTCACTAAAAAAATGATTTTGTCATTTGGGAGTTGTAGTTGCTAGGATTTATAGTTCACCTACAATCAAAGAGCATTCTGAACCCCACCAACGATGGGATTGAACCTAACTTGGCACACAGTTCTCCCATGACCAACAGAAAATACTGGAAGGGTTTAGTGGGCAGTGCCCTTTGGTTTTGGAGTTGTAGTTCACCTACATCCAGAGATCACTGTGGACTCAAACAAGGATGGGTCTGGACCAAACTCTACACAGAGACTCAATATGCCCAAATGTGAACACTGGTGGAGTTTGGGGAAAATAGAATCTTGACATTTGGGAGTTGTAGTTGCTGGGATTTATAGTTCACCTACAATCACAGAGAATTCTGACCACCACCAACGATAGAATTGGGCCAAACCTCCCACACAGAACCCCCATGTGGGCCGCAGCAATGCGTGGCAGGGGACGGCTAGTATATTATAAATCCATCTGCACAGCTCACATGAAGATTTATCACACAAAAAAACATTTGTGGAAGATGAAAGTGTTTTTATAGTAGAAAGGCATTGCTTCTAAAAGTGCTTGGGAGGCTTCTTGAAGAAGAAACGATCAAGGTGTTTTTTTATTGATTGACATTTTGCATCTTTTTTCTATAGAAATGTTCTCCAGTAGTCTGTGATGATCTTTCTAAGTCCCTCAGCTATGAGTGACTTGATTATGGTCTGATAAAATCATTGTATTCTCAAGAACCCCCTGTGATAGTGTTGCCATAAATCAGAAGTGACTTGAAGGCACACAACAATAACAACAACCAATTTTTGTGTGCTGTCATCCTTTTCAGTGAAATTCTTGCATCTTGTCTTCCAGGTCACCTGCATTGTAGAGACCAGAGACAAGATCCACACTGCTCAGCTGAGAAATGCCCTTGTAGATCGTTATCCCATGATGACATGGATGGAACGGTGATGAGCGCATTTAGATTGAAATCCTTCAGGATGCATCCATCTTTTTCTTTTTAAAAAAAGTTTACAGATCTAAACATACTGTTATTCTCATTACTACTTCCTTTTGTAGCATCAGCTATCTCTGTGGTGCTTTACAATGAACAAGTTTGATAGCGTGCTGGCTCGAGGTGGTAACAGTCTAAAATCATTTCAGGATTATTTTAGAACCTTGCAAAATAAGACGTTAGCCAACAATTATAAGGTTTCCCCCTTTCTTCTCCATATCCTATATTTCAGAAAAATATGACGCACATACCCTTTAATAAAGATGAATAAATGTAAATATTTAGATTAGATTGACTTCTTAATACCATCTTTAAGATGTCTATTCTATGCCTTCTGTTGTGTATTAGTTTAGCATGATTTTCCTTTATAACTTTCACCCTCAGTTGCTTTCAGCATTATGTCTCTAAAACACACCTGAAGTTTTGCTGCTGGACTTCCTAGAATATTTCACAAATTTTAGGATGTGACTTCTCTACGTGATACTAAAATCTTCCTTCATCTCCATGTCTAGAATGACTGTAGATAATGGATGTTGCTTCTGATGACCATTTATTTTTAACTGCTATGTTTCTTCTACCCATGCCTTTCAAGCCAAAACCATTTCTTCCAGCCTTGCAAATAAGTCCACTGAAATGTGTACCATCCTGCCCATGCTTTTCATTATTTGTGATATATTGACAACCAGAGAGGGAGGCAACACATGCTCTTCTAGTTCCGAGTTAACTGCCCTCTGGAGGTAATTGTTATTTATCATAGGTTACTTGGCATGTAGATTTATACACTTTATATTTTGTCTTGATGGTTTTGCGCATCTAGATAGCAATACAGAGATCTAGTGTATCCCCATCTCAAAATGCTGTTGTAAAATTAAGAATTTTTCAGAAAGTGTTCTCCAAATTGGATTACAGCACACCTCCAAGTATTCCAATATCAAGTTAATTAAATGCAAAACTCCCAAACTGTGACAATTTTAAAGCACAGCTTATGATGTGTCCGTGGTAGATTATACCTGTAGCCCTTTGGAATTTTGTCCCAAAGAAAGAGAGACCAGACTATGCAGATGTGAGCAGTGTGCTTCACAAAAGATCACAAGGAAGCATGAAACACAAAGATGACATATATTTTTTTTGTTATCTAACACTTTATAACAGTGGTTCCCAACCTGTGGTCCGTAGACCACCAGTGGTCTGCAAGAACTAAAATATTTTTTGATGTCAGGAGCGATTTGAAAAACTGCAAGTTGCTTCTGGTGTGAGAAAATTGGCCATCTGAAAGGATGTTGCCCAGGGGATGCCCAGAAATTTTACCATCTCTCAGGCTTCTCTCATGTCCCTGCATGGGAAGTTAGAGCTGACAGATGAGAGCTCACCCTGTTCACCAGATCTGAACTGCCAAATTTTTGGTCAGCAGACCTGCCGATCCATTGTGCCACCAGGAACTTCTATAAACTAAAATTTGGTCCATGGCCTCACTGTTACTACATCATTGCAATTAGAGCAACTAGACTCGCAAAACCCTCTTAGAGTGCCGAGGCTTATTAAATATGGTTTTCTGTGGACGAGCAAATGGCAACTACTGGATGGTATATGTTCTGTATCAGAAACTAGAGCTGATGCAATTTTCTGAATCAGCTGCCCAAATAACCAAACCAAATCTAAACTTGACCAAAAACTGATTCATAACTCTTTTAGTACTAATGTTGGAGAATGGTTCTTGGGCAAAGTGGTCCCTGGTCAAAAAAAGGCTTGAGAACCACTGCTTTATAATCATATAAATTTCAATTGATCTTTTTGTTTCTGCTACAATGCTGTGAAATACAGGTTTTTGACATGTTAGTGATAATTTAAAAGAATAAAACATTCCAGGCACCATGCCATCCATCCATAAACCCACTACTTCAGTCTATGATCCTAAACCTAAGTGAATAGTCATCTCTCAACTATAGTAATGGATATTCAGATTGTGCTAAATAAATAATTGGGCTTTTAAAAGATGCTCTCAGACTTTTGTTTTTTTTCAAATGTGCATTCGAGTGAACTAAACCTTCCCACCCTTCCCACCCGATGTCATGGTTGATTTGTGGGGGTAGGATATGATGGGGTGAACACAGGCAAAAAGTCTCCCAAACAATATAGAAAGGATGCTAGAGTTTAGCTGGTAATATTCCACGGAAAAGCAAAGATATCTTAGTTGCACAAGGAACCATCTGTGTGGAAACCATCCAAGGCTGTACATCAGCTTAGTTTATTGATAGCTCTGTACTCTAAATGCCACAACTATAAGTTTTACAGTTTGTCTCTGTCCAATTATATGGTGGGTGCAAAATATAGGACAGAATTGCATTGCATCTGATCGTTGTTCACGATACCCTTAAGGAGAATTCTCCATCATTTTCTGAAATGTATACATCTACACGGTTAAAAATTAAAAAACAACAACATTGATCTAGTTGATTAAAATTCCTTTACTCTTTGTCATTACTGATTTTCTTTTGTGCTCAGTTGCTCAACATCCTCAAGTCATAGATCAATATTATTTCAATTTTACAGACAAAAGCCAGAGAGTGTGTGTGAGAGTAATTTGCTTGATTTTATTTATTTATTGTGTCAGGAGCGAACCTAAAAGTTGTATTGCATTAAAAACAAACAAACAAACAAACAAGACACAAAGTTTGCAAGCTTGGTAGTTGATTAGATGTCCTTTGACCAGTAGCTGGCCACTTGGAGTGGCTCCGATGTTGCCACAAGAAGGTCCTCCATTGTGCACGTGGCAGGGCTCAGGTTGCATTGCAGTAGGTGGTCTGTGGTTTGCTCTTCTCCACACTCACATGTCGTGGTTTCCACTTTGTAGCCCCATTTTTTAAGGTTGGCTCTGCATCTCGTGGTGCCAGAGCACAGTCTGTTCAGCGCCTTCCAAGTTGCCCAGTTTTCTGTGTACCCAGGAGAGAGTCTCACATTTGGTATCAGCCATTGATTGAGGTTCTAGGTTTGAGCCTGCCACTTTTGGACTCTTGCTTGCTGAGGTGTTCCAGCAAGTGTCTCTATAGATCTTAGAAAACTATTTATTGATTTAAGTCATTGGTGTGCTGGCTGATACCCAAACAAGGGGTGGGCCGGAGATGTCACTGCCTTGGTCCTTTCACTATTGGTTGCTACTTCCCGGCAGATGTCAGGTGGTGCAATGCCAGCTAAACAGTGTAATTTCTCCAGTGGTTTAGGGTGCAGACACCCCATGATAAGGCGGCATGTCTCATTAAGAGCCACATCTGTAGGATAACAGATTGCCTTTCAAATTTCAATCGGATAGGTGCAAAGTTTCTTCAGAATTAGCCCACATGTAAATATCATTGTCCAGTACATTTCTGGCTTTCATTTATTATGATGTTTATTCATGACAGGACTTCAGAGTTCTTCTAAGAACAATCAGATTGTTCCAGCAGAAGTCTAATTCCATATAATTAAGACAGGTTTCTGTAACAAGTCTCATCAAGCTGCAACCTTACAACACTGAACTCTTGCAAAACCTTAACACCACCCAGCGATCAAGGAACTGATATTTGAGATCGTATCAATCAGCAGGACATAAATGCCACCTGATTTGCACTGAACCCAGACTCACACAGAGAGGAGTTTCCAAGCCTCGCTGTTCATTTTCCTGAAGGGAAAATGTCAGATTTGGAGCTTCTTTGCTGAATGTGAGAGGCTCCAAACTACATATTCCAGAGTTTCCGCCTGTTCTACAGGGTTTACAGAATTATTAAGCTGCATTTAAGCCAAATACACCAAGACAGGAAACTGGAAGATGTGATATTCAATGACTGCCCTCTAGTGCTAGAGATCAGTCAAGCCATTCCTGGAAAGGCTTTTTCTGTTGGCTTCTCCATCACTACCAGTTTTCCCACCCAGCTAATAATTAACCCCTGACTGTTTAAATCTGGCTTTTGGTTGTCTTTCTGCTGATCAGTTTTTTGTGTGAAAATGTATTATTGTGGGGTGTCCCCCCCCTCCAAATACACATATAGAGGCAGTCCCCAAGTTACGAACATCTGACTTACAAATGACTCAGTTAAGAATGGGGGTGGGACAACAGGAAGTGAGAGAAATCTACCCCCAGGAAGGTAAATTCACTCCCGGAATAGTTATCATGTGGAAAAGGTGTCTCCACTGAAGCTTTACCATGAATCCTTCTTTCCACAACAAGCCATTTTTTTTTCAAAATCCAATATTCACAGGAACAGAAAGTGAGAGGAAATCTTCTGTTTAATTATTTTGTTGAAGTAAAATAAGATACAATTAAAAAAAGAAAAAGAAGTAATTCGTTTTACATGTAAAGTAGGAGAACATGAGATGAGATGAAATCTTCTGAACAGGAGCGCAGACATCAAAATAAACACCACAGGAGTTATTTTGTGAAGATAGATAGACAGACAGACAGACAGACAGACAGACAGACAGACACATACACACACACACACACACACACATATTTGGCTGGAGCTACACTTCAAAATTTATCTTACAAACAAATTCAACAAGAACAAATCTACAGAACCTATCTTGTTCGTAATGTGGAGACTCCCTATAAATACTTCCTATAGTTGCAAATCCTTCAGTAAAACTTTCCAAAAATAGTTAAATTAGTTTAATTATTTTGTGAGTGTATCACTGCAGATATTGCCAGCCTATCTCCACACTCGTTATCATGACATTCAATCTATACAATACTTCACTGACCTGATGTAAACCTTTTCATTTAGAATAATAAAACTGCCCTACACCTTGTTGGCCACCTTGTTTAAAAAATATGGATCCACACAACCAGCCTCATGGAAAAATAAAGCCACATACTTGTTTTTTCAAGGTCACAGTTCCTTTCCACCAAGGCTTGAAGCGAACAGATTCTGAAAAGGAATGCAGCAATACGTTCCTTGATCACCCTCCTTTTAAGTTTATTATCGCAGCCTATCAGCCCACCAGGACCCTAAGATCTTCCGGAGAGTCCCTTCTCTCTATCCCTCCAGCTTCAGAAGTGCGGCTGGCGGGAACGAGAGACAGGGCCTTCTCTGTGGTGGCCCCCCGGCTTTGGAACACCCTCCCTATAGAGGTACAATCAGCCTCTTCGCTGATGGTGTTTAGGAAGAGACTCAAAACTTGGCTGTTCAAACAAGCATTCGGCTAATCTGTGGCAATTCGAATTCGAATATTGATGACTAAGGACAGGAAACATGGACAACGAATTCTGGATTGTGATTTCAACTCGAGCTATATGGGATTATTATTGGTGGCCCAGTAATTTGTTATTGTATGTGTATATGTTTTTAAATTGTAGATTGTTTTAACTGCTGTAAACCGCAATGAGTCGCCATTCCAGGCTGAGATATTAGCGGTATACAAGTGTACCAAATAAATAAATAAATAAATAAATAAATAAATTATTATAAACCCATTAGATATGTACAAAATGCTGGAAAAGTTTCCCCTTTCCCTTATTAACCATACAAAGAATAGCAAAACTTACACTTTAATGTCACCTGGAATGATGTACAATGCATAATTTCAAAAAGTGACACATTGGTCCATTTAAAACACTCTCTCGCACCCCAGGAATGGGGAAATTGTCCAAGCTCGGGGCCACAATCCTTTCCTGTGCCTTCCCCAAAAGAGTGCTCACCTTGCTCTTCTGAAACATTTCCAGAGCTCTGAACATCAGGTGTGTTCTATGCTTTCAGCTCCTCAGGGAGATGGGGCGAGGTATAAAATTATTATTATTTATTTATTTATTTTATACTAAATTAAACAACAATAAATCCCTAGATCAGGGGTTCTCAAACTAAGGCCCGGGGGCCGGATGCAGCCCTCCAAGGTCATTTACCCAGCCCTCGTTCAGGGTCAACCTAAGTCTGAAACTACTTGAAAGTAAACAACAACAACCCTATCTCATCAGCCAAAAGTAGGCCCACACTTCTCATGAAATACTAATACGTTTATATTTGTTAAAGTTGTTCTTCATTTTAATTATTTTATTGTTTTAAGTGTCTTTTGCACTACAAATAAGATATGTGCAGTGTGCATAGGAATTCATTCATGTTTTTTTAAAATTATAATCCGGCCCTCCGACAGTTTGAGGGATTGTGACCTGGCCCTCTGTTTACAAAGTTTGTGGACCCCTGCCCTAAGATAAAGATCTTAACATAATTTATCCTTTATCTCTTTCTATCCTATTAAATTTTAGCCCTTGACATTTTACCAAAACTCTTCATCTGAACATTTCATTCAATGTGTAAGCAATTTTTCTAGAAACAACACTCTTGAACATGTTGACCCCTTCAAATTCCCATTAGACCCACATTGTTCTCTCTTCTTCAAGCACCTTGGAAATCATTTGTTCACTTGAATATTAGCCACATGCTCCTCCAAATTATCAAAAATCCTTTGATCAGGACATGTACCATTTATTTATTTACTTACTTTAGACCTGCCTTTCTCAAAGGGGACCCGAAGGGGACACAAAGTGGCTTACAAACTCTGGCAAAAATCTTCACATTCCGGGCTGAAACTGACTCCTTGTTCTAGATGTCAAATGTATCTAGTAGTTTCTTTTTTGTCTCCATTAGTTAAAACTGGATTTCCCTGATCCAATTATCAAGGCTCTCTCCACTAATAACAAATTTAGAGGGGGGGGGGGGATAAGTGAATTCCTTCACTTCCCCCACAGCTGCAAAATCCATAGTAGATAGGTAAAGAATAAATGTGCTTTTCCTGTTAAAACACAATATATTTTGAACACATGAAACATCTAGCTTTTCATTCATCTTCAACTTCAAAACGATGCCAAAGTGACAAACTGCAGTTTCTACTTTGTCTTCTCCTTGTATCCTTCACTGGCTTTCTTTGCTAGCTTCGAAGTCGACAAATAGTAAAGAGAAAATCCTCCAAACGCAAGTGTCTGAACAAACCACAAAAGCTGAGTCTTGCTGTCTGTGACGCCTTTGTTCCTGGGGAGAAGAAAGAGACAAATTGACCTGACATTGACGCAGAATGGAACCAAAACAAGACTAAGAAAGGAATGTACCTCTTTAACGTCTTGGCAAAAGACAGAAATCTCAAAACTGTCACTCACATTCCTGCCTCGGAAGGTATCAAAACTAGAAACTGCTTGAATCAGCTTGGGGACATGAGAGAAGCCTCCCACAAGGATGATAACAACATCAAATCATCCGGGCATCCCCTGGGCAACGTCCTTGCAGACGGCCAAGTCTCTCACACCAGAAGTGACTTGCAGTTTCTCAAGTCGCTCCTGACATGACAAAAAAAAAGCTTGGTATTTAATAATAATAATAATAATAATAATAATAATAATAATAATAATAATATAATAAACTTTATTTATACCCCACCACCATCTCTCCAACGGGGACACGGGGCGGCTTACATGAGGCCAAGCCCAATCAACAAATTACAGCAAAATAAAACCAAAAACACATGCAACAAACAACACCATAATTACATAAAACATATGAATACATTAACAATATAAGATTACAGTAAACACAGTCACAATAACAATGGGCCGCTACATGTGCGAGAAAAGGATTTAAAAACTGATTAAAAACTGGAAAAAAAACTGATTAAAAACTTGTGGGAAAGTTTGATTCCACAACCCCTGCTATAATGAGCTCTCCTCCGCAAATAACCTGCTTCTCCTTTATCTCACTCGAGTTTTTAATTAGTTTTTAATTAGTCTCTCTTTTAATCACTACATGTAGCCTGCCCATTATCATTGTGATTGTGTTTATTGTAATTCTATATTGTTATGTATTCACATGTTTTATGTAATTATGATGTTGTTGTTTATTTTTTGCGTTTTTGGTTTGCGTTTTCGGTTTTATTTTGCTCTAACTTGTTGTTTGGGCTTGGCCTCATGTAAGCTGCCACGAGTCCCCATCGGGGAGATGGTGACGGGGTATAAATAAAGATGATGAAGATGATGATGGTGATGATGATGATGATTATTATTATTGTATAATGCCAAGTTTTTAACTTTGTGATTTTAATATATATATATATAACTGCACCCTTATTTCGCTTTTGACACGATAAATAAATAAATAAATACATACATTTATGTCCCGTCCTTCTCACCCCAAAGAGGACTCAGGGCGGCTCACAAAAAAGGCACAATTTGATGCCATATAAACATACATAAGGTAATACAAACATATACATTAAAACCAAATAATTAAAAACATACAATCTTAAAACAATTAATTAAAATCACACAATCCACACTAGTGCCACCAACAAACAGATAAAGGGTCCTAATAACAACTAAAACATTAAATAAATGAATAAAACCCTCCACAAATAATTCTTTTAAAAGACCACAAGGGACTGCCCAAAATATAGGAGGAATAAGAGCCAATCTGATTTCCTTTGCAAGGAGATTCCACAAGCAGAAAAGGGGATTTAGACTGATTACAGAAAAGGTCATGCTATATGAAATCACCCAGGCTAGGCTCATAGGTTAGTAGGACATGCAAGGAAATAATTGTTTCCTCCACCTCCTTTTAATTATACAAGTACAATAAGATGAGCAGAGCAAAGAATGTGCTTGTTACGTATCTGACTGTTATAACTGAAGTTGCCAAAGACTGGCTTTGGGATCACGGAGACTTGCATGACAGGCCTGTGCTCTGTCACTGCAGACCTAATTTTGCAATTGGGAGTTCAAAGGCAGAAAGGTTGCAGTGATTTGAAGAACGGAGAAGAGTAAGACCAGATAAGAGATGAAAAAGGAAAAGAAATTACAATAAGCTTACTTGCATAGCTTCAAAGCATAAAGTGCTTCCCCAAGGTGAATTGCCCAGCTGATAACATACCTGAAATTAAAGAAAAACAACGGTTTTGACTGGTTAATTAACTGACATTTTTTCAAGCCAGAGAGAATATTGTTGGGGCCAGAGGGAAAGACTCAAATCAATCATCTCCCAGAAATAAATAAGCAAATCCTTATTTCTATACCACCCTCTCTCCTCAAAGGGACTCAGGGCGGTTTACACACAAAAATGCAAGCATTCAATGCCTCAAATGAGTACAAACACATCAAAAATAATGCAGAATAATGCACTGTAATAACAATAAACCTACAACAAAGAAATTAAGCACCACAATGATAAATAAAACAGAAACAGTCCAATAAGACATAAAACTAAATCATGAGTAAACATTACAATATATACCCTAAAAACCACTGAGACACAATTACATTAAAAATGGCCAACACTACTGTGATACAGTAAATTTATTGATTACTCCATTGTTACTTAATTTTAACAGGCAGAAGATTCCTTCTAGGTATAGGAGGCAAATAATTATTTATATGCCAATATTTGTTCTAGCGATTCCCCAACTCATGCGGGAGCAACATGAGAGACAAATGGCTCAGGTTGTCATTTTAGCTTCTCTCTGAAATTTGTCCCAGCTTTCAAGGTGGACTAGCACCATTATTATTATTATTATTATTATTATTATTATTATTATTATTATTATTTCTCATCCGCCTCTTCTTGTGGCTCAAGGCGGGTTACAGAATAATTTAAACACAAACCTTGTTAAAATATCACAAATACACATATTAATACACCTAATATTTTCTTTTCTGCAGTTTTCATTTCAATGGGGCAGTACTCTATGGTTTTGATTAATACTGTATTCCTGAGTACATCACACACAGAAATGTTGTCCCCTGTACCATTATATCAATGTTTTCTAAGATCTACAGAGACACTCGCTGGAACACCTCAGCAAGCGAGAGTCCAAAAGTGGCAGGCTCAAACCCAGAACCTCAATCAATGGCTGATACCAAATGAGAGACTCCTCCCTGGGCACACTGAGGACTGGGCGACTTGGAAGGCACTGAACAGACTGCCCTCTGGCACCACGAGATGCAGAGCCAACCTCAAGAAATGGGGCTACAAAGTGGAATCCTCGACATGCGAGTGTGGAGAAGAGCAAACCACTGACCACCTGCTGCAATGCAACCTGAGCCCTGCGACATGCATAATGGAGGACCTCCTTGCAGCAACACCAGAAGCACTCCAAGTGGCCAGATACTGGTCAAAGGACATTTAATCAACTACCAAACTCGCAAATTTTGTATTTTGCCTGTTTGTTTGCTTTCTTCTGTTAGAAATGTAATATAATTGACTGGTTGCCCTGACACGACAAATAAAATGTTAATATGGAAGTGGGCCATGCAGCCTCTTAGATGTTGAGACTGCAAATGACTGTATGATTTCTGCCTTAACCAGAGCCGATTAACAATATAGATTTCCCTTCTAAATCACTTGCACACTTAAGCAACAGCACATGGTATCCACTGGCTGGCTCCCATGCAAGTATTATCCAAAACTGACTCTGCATACTTTCCAGAATCAGACAAGACCATTTAAAGATATTACTACCCATAATTTGGCACTATGGCATTCACGGAGAGGGTGACATTCTGAGTGTGTGTGCATGTCTTCAAATCACCTATCAACTTATGGCTGCCCCATTGATTTCATAGGGTTTTCATAGGAAAGGATAATTCAAAGGTGGTTTGCCAGTTCCTTCCTTTGAAGTACAGCCTATTATAGCACTTGGTATTCATGGGTGATCTCTCATCCATGTACTACCCATATCTGACACTTCTTTCCTTTAGGCCTTTAGGGTATTTACAGTATCACTCAAAGATTGTCAATCATACCTTCACAGACATAAGGGTTAGAAATATGATTTTCAGCTAAAAACAAAAAGAATGAAACCCAAATTCTGCTTCCAGAACCATTCCCCATACTTTTTTTTTCTGCACTGCCACAGATGCAGTTCTTCCCCCCTTTCCCCAAGGCTATGTGTGTTGAAGGCTACACACATAGCCTTCAAACCTATTTTATCAATAGATAGCCTTTGAAAGAAGCAACAAGGGGTTTGCTGGGTGATGTTAGATCCAGAATGAGACAAACCTGCAGCAGCCTCAGGGCCATTTTAGAAGCAGATCACAAGGGAGAAAGGACACCCTGAAATGTTTCTCATGGAAATTGGAATTTTAGCACATTGAGTAAAGCACACAACTGACTTTATAGCTGTAGCAAAGCTCATCAAACCTTGCACTCCCTTTTTCTGCTGCTTTCTAAATTACTGAGGCTGGCTGAGAGACAATGGGAGTTTTAAAAAGAGGGTTTTCCACCATTCATATACCCGTTGTGACTGGGTTCCTGACAGCCCCATGCTAGTTCTGACAAAGCTATTGCCACCGTTGTGAAGTTGCACAAAGCAGCAATGTTCTTGTCATTCCACATGATTCTGCAGACAATAGTTTTAATGGGTAAGGTTATTTTTCATGCTATGGAAAACGTCATTACACTGTTCTGCATACAAGGGCCCTGCTCCTTCAGTCTTCCCTAAATGTCCACGATCATTCACAGGAGGCTTGACTCAGTTTTCACAAAATCGATTTTGAAACATTTAATTGTTACACTTACACAGGGGCGACTCAAACCATTACGCAAAGTAAGCATTTGCAGTATAGTTGATTTTGCCCAGGGGCACTCTTGAGGCGCTCTTGGGGGAAAATAGACCTTGACATATACAAGTTGTAGTTACTGGGATGTATAGTTCACCTACAATCAAAGAGCATTCTGAACTCCACGAATGATGGAACTGAACCAAATATGACACACAGAACTCCCACGATGAACAGAAAATATATATCAGTGATTGGTGGGGGGGGGGGGCAAAATACTGTTTGCTTACCGTTGAAAATCACCTAGGGCCGCCTCTGCACTTACAGGAAGCTGGACTCACTTTTCACAACATCCATTTTGAAACATTTGATTGTTACATTCACATATACCTATTTCCACACATGTGCATGACTACACATGCGTGCACACACACAGGGTGTGAAGAAAGAAAATGTCATTTGTTTTTACAATCTGCTTACCCTATTTTAAAAGGAGTGTTGTGATTTTCCACCAGAAATTTTGTGAAAGTGCCTAGGGGTCCCAGACTGTCGTAGGGGATTGATGCAGGTGCAAAGACAGCCCACTGTCAGAAATGAGAGAAAGACAGAAGAAATACATTTTGTTAATTAGGCATTAGACATATCAACACAATACGCTGTCTTCCACGCTTAAGAGTTCACAATACCAAAATTATTCTTCTTATTCTGATTATTGTCATTAACATCACCTGTCTCACATTTGAACATTAGCAATGAGGTTGGAAAGACAAAATAAGGCGGCATCTGGAAACATGGTGGATTTACCTCTCAGAATATTTAATTAACAACTTTATTAATCAAAGGAAAAATAAATATTTGAACAGTATTTTCAAACTTGACCTTGAAGGAGCTGGGGGTGGTGACGGCCGACAGGGAGCTCTGGCGTGGGCTGGTCCATGAGGTCACGAAGAGTTGGAGACGACTGAACGAATGAACAACACTTTCAAACAAGACTGGTATAGGAAACGGTATTGTTTAATTGACAAAACGGAAGGAAATTATAGGTACAGAATTTTACATCAGGCCATCCAAATAATTAAATCAATATATTAAAATAATCTGACCCAGATGGGGGGTGGGAAGAGGGGAGGGTGGGGGTTGGGATTTAAGGGGAAGGTCATTGACCTAACATGTAACTTAGTTACAAAAACTATAAATAGTCACCGATATTGGTTAACGCCACCTTGCGGGAAGGTAAAATTCCAGCCAGCCTAAAAGAGGCTGTAGTAAAACAGCTGTTGAAAAAACCATCACTGGACCCCACTCAATTGAACAACTTTCAGCCAGTTTCCAATCTCCCCTATTTGAGCAAAGTCTTGGAATGTGTAGTGGCCTCGCAACTCCAGGTGTTCTTGGAAGAAACTGATTTTCTAGATCCGTCGCAGTTTGGCTTTAGGCCGGGACATGGAACTGAAATAGCCTTGGTTGCCTTAGCGAATGATCTGTGTAGGGAACTTGACAGGGGGAGTGTACCCCTGTTAGTTCTCTTAGACCTCAGCTGCCTTTGATGCTATAGATCAGTGGTTCTTTCTAATACATTCCCACCACATATGTGTAAAGCAATGGTTCTCAACCTTCCTAATGCTGCGACCCCTTAATACAGTTCCTTATGTTGTGGTGACCCCCAACCATCATTTTTGTTGCTACTTCATAACTGTAATTTTGCTATTGTTATGAATTATCATGTAAATATCTGATATGCAGGATATATTTTCATTTACTGGACCAATACTCCCGCATTTGAATACTGGTGGCGTTGGGGGTGGGGTTGATTTTGTCATTTGGGAGTTGTAGTTGCTGGGATTGATGTGTACACATTCCCTACATATACACCTGTACACATCCCCTACAGAGAGCATTCTGAATTCCAACGATGAAATCGAACCAAACTTGGAACACAGAACTCCCATAACCAACAGAAAATACTGGTAGGGTTTGGTGGACATTGACCTTGAGTTGTAGTTCACCTACATCCAAAAAGCACTGTGGACTCAAACTATGATGGATCTGGACGAAACGTGGCACGAGTACTCAATATGCCCAAATGTGAACACTGGTGGAGTTTGGGAAAAATAGACCTTGACATTTGGGAGTTGTAGTTGCTGGGATTTGTAGTTTTCTGAACCCCACCAAGGACAGAATTGGGCCAAACTTCCCACACAGAACCCCCATGACCAACAGAAAATACCGTGCTTTCTGGTGGTCTTTGGCGACCCCTCTGACACCCCCTCATAACCCCCCAGGGATCCCAACCCACAGGTTGAGAAACACTGCCGTAGACCATAGTATCCTTCTGAGACACCTTGCGGGAATGGGCTTAGGGGGGAACTGTGTTGCAGTGGCTTCAGTCCTTCTTGGAGGTTCAATCTCAGAAAGTGTTACTGGGGGATACCTATTAGGCTCTGCAGCCATTGACTTGTGGAGTTCCGCATGTTGTTTAACATATACATGAAGCCACTAGGGGAGACCATCCGGAGTTTTGGAGCTCGATGCCACCTGTACACAGATGACGTCTAACTCTATCACTCCTTTCCACCTAAGGAGACTGTTCAGGTGATGAACCAGTGCTTGGCAGAAGTGACGGTCTGGTTGAGAATGAACAAATTGAAACTGCATCCAGACAAGATGGAAGTACTCCTGGTTCGTCAGAAGGCCGAGCAGGGTATAGGTTTACAGCCTGTGTTGGATGGGGTTGCACTCCCCTTAAAGATGCAGGTTCGCAGCTTGTGAGTGATCCAGGAGTTATCCTTGAGCCTGGAGCCCCAGGATTCGGTGGTGGCCAAGGGAGCTTTCACACAATTAAAACTTGTGCATCAGTTGAGCCTGTACCTTGGGAATTCAGACCTGGCCAAAGTAGTCTATGCTCTTCGTTACATTTTGCATACATTACTAAAACATGCTCTACGTGGGGTTGCCTTTGAAGACGGCCCGGAAACTTCAACTAGTCCAACAAGTGGCATACAGGGAGCACACAATTCCTCTGTTGTGTTAGCTCCACTGACTGCCAATATGCTACCAAGCCCAATTTAAAGTGCTGGTCTTGGCCTATAAAGCCCTAAATGGTTCTGGTCCAACTTATCTGTCAGAATGCATCTCCTTTTATGAGCCTACTAGAACTTTAAGATCATCTGGGGAGGCCCTGCTCTCAATCTCACCTTCTTCGCAAGTGTGCTTGGTGGGAACAAGAGATGGGGCCTTCTCAGTGGTGACACCTTAGCTATGGAACTCCCTCTTTAGAGACATCAGGCAGGCTCAAACACTTCTAGCTTTCAGCAAAAAGCTAAAGACTTGCTTTGCACACAAGCATTTGAAGAATATGTTACTACGGGTTTTGACATGGACTAAATTAAGGATTTGAGCAAGGTTATTGAATGAATTGAACTATGCACCTTATGTGTTTTTAATTTGTATACTGTTTTTTTAATTAACTGTTAATTGTTTTAACTGTGGTATATGTTTTTACTGCTCATTGTTGGTTTTGCCGGCACTGAATTCTTGCCGGATATGTAAGCCGCCTTGAGACCCCTCTGGTAAGAAAGGTGGGTAAAAATGAAGTAAATAAATACATTTATAAAATGTCAAATTTATAGAATGCATTGTTACCTGTATGATTTTCAGAAATAAACTCATTAAAAATTCTCTTATATTTATGTAATAGAAATAAATCCAGATTTCCCAATACACCAGGGTTATATACACAAAACATGGAGGTATATCCATACCCAACCCTGAACTTTATTTTTTCAGATTTTAAACTATTGCTAAGATTTTAAACTATTGTATTAAACTAATACATTTAATACAAAGAGACTGCTTTAAGCACTGGATTATTTTAGAAACTATCACGGAAATGAATTTACTATTTTCCCAGGGTTGCTAGTGAGATTCAAAACAGATTTCTCTATATGTCTTTCCTCATCTTTTTTCCCAAGAGTAAAGCTACCACCAAATGTTCTTTTATCCAACCCAACTTCCTCCTAATTTAATACATTTCACGTTTCATTTCCCGTTTTACCAGATCAGGGGAAACACCACGCTCATATATTTGAACACTTATGCCTCCCAAACACACATTAGGCCAAAGGTATCTCAGTCGAATTATAGAAATGACTGAATAAAGAACCCTATGCACCTGAGTCCTCTCATAAGAAATGTTGGGAGTTGGATCTAAATGTGGAAATTCCAGACTCCTCTTGGCAGTGAATGTGGAGGCCTCACCCGTTTAAATCCAGGTCAGCTTTCATAAAAGAGAATACTTTAACCTCAATCTATCAATTTCATCTCACTCCAATCATGACAGCAAGGATCACACCCACGAATTGATGGCAAGGATGCAACACTCAAAGGCAGTTGCACCCATAAGTGGTTTTCCTGTACGAAGGTGAGTGTATTCAGGTTGAAAGTACCTTCTATTATCGTAGACATCACGAAACCAACCATTGTACTTTGCTCTTGTCCTCTTGTTAATATTTTCTTGATTGGAATAAGAAGCAGCAGAACAAATCATTGATGTACTTTTTGATCGCAGCCACCAGGATAGAAATGGCAAAAAACAACTGGAAAACAGAAGCCCTCTTGCTAGATGCCTGGTGGCACGGGGTCTGAGATGCCTTACTAATTGAAAAAAAAAAATAGCGCATTATTCAGGTCTGCAGTTCAGGGTTTAACGCATTGCACCACTATGGCTCCTGGGATGTTCCACTGAATTACTGTTAAGTTTATGTTGGTTAATATTGTTCCTAGTTATAAATGTTGCATTGTTCTTTCGTTCCTTTTTTTTTTTTTTTTGCACTACAAATGAGATATGTGCAGTGTGCATAGGAATTTGTTCATTTTTTTTTTCAACTTACTTCACACAAACACTCTCCATCCATCTGCCACTGGCCCGGCCCATCTGTCAAATTTTAAAACGCATGACCCTGTGTCCAAATATATATACACACACATATTATATACAATATATAATCTATATAAACAAAAATGTAATGTTCGCTTGTGGGATTAACATAACTTGAAAACCTCTGGACAAATTGCAGTCAAATTTGGCCACAAGACACCTACTAACCCAAGGAGTGACCATCACTAAAAAAATATGATTCTGTCATTTGGGAGTTGTAGTTGCTGGGATTTATAGTTCACCTACAATCAAAGAGCATTCTGAACTCCACCAATGATGGAACTGAACCAAATTGGCACACAGAACTCCCCTGACCAACAGAAAATACTGGAAGGGTTTGGTGGGCACTGACCTTGAGTTTTGGAGTTATAGTTTACCTACACCCAGAGAGCACTGTGGACTCAAATAATCAAGGATCTAGACCAGTCTTGGCACGAATACTGCATATGCCCAAATATGAACACAGATGGAGTTTGGGGGAAATAGACCTTGACATTTGGGAGTTGTAGTTGCTGGGATTTATAGTTCACCTACAATCAAAGAGCATTCTGAACCCCACCAACAGTGGAATTGGGCTGCTTGGTATTTTATTTATTTATTTATTTATTTATTTATTTATTTGCTGCATTTGTTGACCGCCGTTCTCAG